AGTTAGTGTTACAAACGCACAATCTTGTTCCAGCTAGTTGTTGATTTTCCCCATTTAATTACCTTTTTATTTAAGTCAGCTGTTGATGTTTATATCCAGATGCATCAAAATAAATATGAAACTTAAAACTAACTTATGACTTTAACATTTCACCCCTCTAAAAAATACATAAAACAATTATGGAGACGTTTGTTTATTTTTATCTCTTTACGAAATATAAAATATTAAAGTTTACTATGAATTTACGGTAGATCTTCATACAGAGTACGGTTTAAAAATATGGAGCCTGGAAAGACTAGAAACAAAAAAGGGAAGACGAAAGAGGAAGGATGAAAGGAAGAAGGACACAAAGGAAAGAACAGGAAAAGATGCAAAATAAGGAAGGTTGGTGGAAATAAGGAAGGATGCAAAGAAAGACAGAAGAAAGGGCAGAAAAAAGGAGGGAAGCTGGAAAGTAGGAAGGATACAACAGAAGGACATAAAGTATAAAGGATGCCTAAAAGGAAGGACACAAAGAATGGAAGGATGGACATTTATATGAAACATTTACAACAGCCTCAGGTCACCAAAGAACTTCAGAACAAACAAAACATCACAGGCAGATAAATGATAAAACATAAAATAAAGATTAGTAAAAATAATACGACAATTTTCAAATTGGGAGTAAACATAAAAAATTAATATGAATAAAAACCAGAACACACTTAATTTGAGCTGCTTCTCTTTAGCTTTAACAAGAGGAAAGATGTTTAGCTTCTTGTGTTGAAGGAGAATAGATGCGTCCAGAAAAACTCAACAAATTACAAATTTCTACTTAGATAGGGCAGACGGAAGGGATGAAGTATACAAAGGAGGAAGAACAAGAGGGAAAGAGAACAGTTTCCTAGCAGATTATGTTTTCTACGTTGTGGGAAATAATTTCAGCATTTTTCTAATGTAACTTGGCTGAACATCTCAAGCTGATTTCAGTCCTGATGGACGCATTCACCCTCTGCAGCTATTACAGCATTAGCATATCTGAAACCTGGGTTGAGTTTTGAAATTAGCTGAGAATTTCCCAGCGTTTTTTCTGTGTCGAAGCTCCACATCAGAGACTCTGGGGACGAATCTGCTTTCCAAGAAGCCAAACATGAAGTTCAAGTTTCCTTCCCAGAGCAGCAGGCCTCGTTTTTAAAACGAGCCGAGGAGAAAACGGAGAGGAGGAGTAAAGAAAGAGACTAAACAAGCATCTGAAACGAGTTCTTACAACAAGGGCTCTGAGCGAAGGGGTGGTAAAGCAACACAATTAAAAACTAACAAAAAATTTGGTTTGTTTGGCCTCTTAAAGAGGGAAAAGATGTGTGTATTTTTCACAATCGTATTCCTACATTTATATATGCCAGTTCCAAATTAAATATTTATTTCAAAATCTAAATATTTAGTTAGTAAAAATAAATATTTAATTAGCATATTTAGAAATAAATATTTAACAAATTAATTATGAACAAATTTCAAAAATATTTACTGAGGAAACTAAATATCTAGTTCTCAACTGAATGTCTCTGTCTGAGCTAAATATTATAATTTTCAAACTAAATGTTTAGTTTGAAAAATTTTATATTTTGCTTACTAAATATTCAGTTCAATATTTATATTTGCTATATTTACTTGGCTAATTTTCAAACTAAATGCTTATTTTTCAATATAAATATTTCAAAATAACCTAAATATTAAGATTATTGCTAAATATTTAGCAACCTAAAAATATCTTTACCATTTATTTAGTGGTCAGCAAAACTACCTTTTAGTTTGGTATCCCACTTCCGCTAGTGGCCAAGCTAATTTACATATTAGCTAAATATTTGCGAGCAATCTAAATATTTAGTTAGCAAAGTAAATATTTAGCTTTCTTGTTAGCTAAATAGCAAGCAAATAATTTTGCTAGCAAGTACAGAATAAGTTGTTTAGCAAATATTTATAATATGAAATAAAAAGAATTGAGCTGATCCTAAAGCGCTAATCATAAACACCACCTTCTCTCAATAAGCACGTAGGATTTTTGTTAATTTTGATCTGTACTCTACCAAATAAACATAATTTGCTGGATTTTTGTCCCACGGGGGGAGCGCGAGGAGGGGAAACGGAATTGGCACGTGAACAAGTGTAACTCCCTTCAAAATAAGAGCATAAATATAAAATACCTGAACAATTTTTTTACAATTTGTAACAAAACTTCAATACAAATTTGAAACATTATTCAACTGAAAATTTACAAAATTATGATTCAGCCAGAAAAAAATAATTTAGTGTAAGATAAGTGTGCTAAATATTTCAACATTAACTAAAGTGCTAAATGAATTTATGTGACATATATTCACATATTGGGGTTTGTGGATTATCTTACTGAAATCTGGGTTGGTTGTAAAACAAACATTATAAGCTAACAAATGTCTTTAATTGAATGAACTTGTGTCAGTATCAGACAGAAAGATGAACCTGCATCTTGTGACAACCTCCAGCAGAGCAGATTTGACAAGAGTTCTGTGCACCAAAGTCTAAACCAAGTTAGAGACCCAAAAATAGCTCAGACTTTTGAATTTTCAGACTTTAGGATCATTATTGTCAAAATGAAAGTGCTTTGATGAAGGCTTTCCACTGCTGTCTGAGCTGGGTTTATTTGTGGGTCAGACAGGAATAAATACACAGCATATTAATTATGTTTGGCAAAAATATTTTGATCATGTTTTTCTTTTGAAACATTTGATTCTTTCAGTTAAACTTTGTGTTTTTCTGCCCTTTTGATGTCCCAAACTCTTTGATGTAGCAGCAAATAAGTGATTTATTTACTTATTAATTTTATAATGATAATTATAATCATGATAATGTAGCAACAGTATTAATATTTAACACTTTTACTTAATAATTTAATCATTTATGTATTTATTCCTTATTTGCATTTATTTTTTGTTATTTTATTAGTAGTAGTAGTTGTCATGTTCGTTGATGTAGTCGTGGTGATAGTGGTAATTTATTTCCTTTATAATGATAATAATATTAAAAATGTAGTGATAGTGGCTAATATTTTTACTTAATTACTTGCTTATTTACATTTCATTATTTACTATATGCTATATATATTTTAAATAATTTATAGTATGTTAATTATAAATTATTTTTGTTATTAGTAGTAATCATGTTTGGCAATGTATTGGCATGCATAGTAGCTAACAGTTTTACTAAATTATTTGCTTATTAACATTTATTTATTACATATCATATTTATTCTATCATTTATATTACATTCAGAATTATTTTATTAGTAGCAATAGTGTTAATTTGATTACTTATCTTAAAATAATAATCAGAATAATTCAGCAATAGTGATGTAACTAATACTTTTTCTCAGTTACTTGTTATATATTTATTAGATTTATTAATCTATACTACATTCATTGTTATTAATATTATGTACCGATAAACATGGTAGCTAATACTTCAACATATTTTGCATAATTTATTATTAAATGTCACATTTATTTATTTACTTACTTTAAACTTATTATTTTTAGAATTAACATAATTATTGCGATTGATGAAATAGTGTAAGTTTAATTAAATTACTTGCTTATTTACGTATTATTCTTGATATATTACTATTATATAGAAAGATTGTAAAGAGTTAACATTTGCAGCCCTGCTTTCTTCACAGAGGAAACAATGTTATCTCATATTGTAGTAATTTAAATCCAGATCTTTCAAGACATCTGGATGTGTGAGACCTTTTGGTAAATATGTTCGATATAAACCAGTCAGAGCTTCCCACAGTTGGAGGAGTTATTTTATCCGGGTAAAAAAGCCGCAGCGGTTCTCTGGGGACAGATGCCAGATGTGGACAGCTGTCCTTTCCAGCTTAAAATGTCGCAGTAAAACTTTCATCCAAGGCTTGGGATTAAAGCAGCCAGGAGCTGAATAAGCCCCAGCATAAACTCACCCCTTCAATTTGACAAACTAAAAAATATATATATATATATTTTTTTTAGAAGCGGAGCTACAAGTGCTGACTAAAGAATTTTAAAACATGAATTACTTTCCTTCCAGAGGGACATAAATATTTAGCATTTCTTGTGAAAGGGACTGCTGGATCATAGAAAGGGTGAGGAAGTTTTTTCTGGTCTGTTAGCAACCTCTGCTGGTTTAAATGCGATCATCAATTTGAACTCAAACTGATTTTACTATATTAATATTTCATTTCTGATCATGTAAGGTGCCAAGAAAACAGAAAAAACTAATATCACACTTTCTGCAACCCTAAAACAAAAACATTAATAATGATAAAAAGTAGTTTTTGAAACAAATGAATGTGATATAAATGAAAATATTTCTATTTTAATCTATCAGAAAATATTGTCTGAAACTTATAGTTTGTCTGTCTTATGTACATTTGTATTTTAGAACTTCTTTAAAAATTATAACCATTATAACTAAATAATTTTGTGGATTTCTAGTAATATAAATCCACTTGTATGATTATAAGTTGATTTGAAACATACCTAGTCAAAAAATGCACCAATAGATTTTACAATGTCCAACTCTGTGTGTCTTTCAATTTAAGTTTTCTCTGGATTCATTTATAGATTAATATATTTCTATGTACATGTTTGCTATTATTTTATTTACTATTTTATTTTATATTTAGACAAATTTAGATTACTTTCAATATCTCACTTATATATATTTTATATAAACTTTATAACGCTTATGGTTACATTTGTATTTACTAATATTTCACACTTTGGATGGAATAACTTGTCAACAAATCACATTGGGTATTAATAAAGTATATTGTATTGATGTGAACAACCTTTAAATAATACAATAACTACATTATTTTTGTTTTAAGAATATACTGTAAATAATGTATTTCAAAATAAAGATAAAAATCGCAGCGTACACGTATTTACATACGTCAGTAAGTTTGTGCTTTTATTTTGAAAATGCGGATGTTGTTACTTCTTCAGCAATCTTCCGGTGTCCACAGTTAGCAGCAATGGCTGGCCTGCTACCGTTTAATGTTGCTGTTATTTCCATTGTTTTGTTATTGAGATGCGCAAATTTAGTATCGTGTAATAACGGCCGAAGGGTAAGAGTTAAATAATAATTCGTAAATATATTTTCAACAAAAACTAGCGATGAGGGTTATTTCATTTATGTTAACGAGTTATGCTAACGAGTTTAGCGTTAGCATTGTGTGGTAATGTAGATGCTAAACGCAGATTTTGGTTGTTTTCAGGCCGGGGATCCGTTGGAGGCCGAACTCAGTGGATTCTCTGTGCCGCTTGAACACTCGTTTGAACTCGGTGAGAAGATATTTTAACAGAACCGGGTAGAACATCACTCATGCTAGTTTGCTAACTAAGTATCCTTGTGCTCACCTAGCTAACGCAATTTTCGTTTCTGTCATTGTAAGGACAGACATTCTGTTTTAATTATGTTTTTATATATCTATAGTTTGTGTCATAGATGTTTTGGAAGTTTATTGAGCAGGTTGAATAAAATAGAATTTTCTACTTTACCTCCAGGCTTTCTAATTTTGGCATGTAGTAGAGCCTTGTCTTTATTTTAAAATTATCTTAAAAAATGTAAATATACAAGTCAGATTTAGCCAAAGAGGCTCATTTTCATGTAGCACGTTTATGGGCTGGATTAAAAAGAACTAAAATCAGCATACATGATTTGACATTTCTGAAAGATTTCAATATGTAGCTGAAATTTATGTAATTTACTGTAAAAACCCATAAGAAAATGAAAACAAGTCATGTTTTCATGTGACGTAAAAATACAAATTAATGTATTTAAGTACAACTGATAACAGCTTAATGATGTTGGCTGTGTTTGTAGAAAATCAAACTCAGTATTTGAACATAAACGCCTCACATTATCAATAACAGCGGGTCTGTTAGCTCTTCTGATTACCAAATTACTACTGATTATTTTAGTAATTGATTATTCCATTGATTACTCTGACAAAATCTAGATTATTTTATTTAATCAGTTAAACCTTTTTGTTTTGATCCCAAGATAAAATTAAGTAAACAAAATATATTAAATAAAAAAATACAAATTTTATTGCCTAAAATGCAGAGTTTTTTGTTGTTTTTTTATCTTAAAAGCAAATTTTTGCCATTTTGGTTTAATTTCTGCTCTGAATATGTTTTTTTTTTCAGGAAGTGACTTTTTTTCTGTTTCTACTCAAAAGTTGATAATTACTTTTTGCTTTTTAAATTTTCTATGCTCACAGTTGTTTGCTCTGTTTTGTCTTCAGATGATGTTGCAAAGTTTCAGTCGCGTGGATCCTTGCTGCTGAAAACGGGTCGGGAGCCAAGCGTCTCTCTGAGTCAGAACCAGCTGTCAGAAGACGACCGCTCCAAGCTGAAGGTGAAACTGAAAAAACAAACCTTTGACTAGGACCTCAGGAGTTATAAAAACTAGGGACCTGTTTTGGTTTTTTTTTAAAACAATGCTTTTTTCTGGTTTGGTCTCCTCAGGAAGTGGCTGCAGTCGATGGCCTGTACAGAATCCGAGTGCCTCGGGTTTTCCTGCAGGCGGACAGACAGACGGAGTGGCAGATGGACGGTTACCTCACAGCGTTTGTCAGAGCCGTATGTGTTCAGCTTAAAAAATGGCAGCAAAAACGAATCGAGACGAAGGTTTCAGTGGAGAAGTTTTGTTTTGTTGTGATTCCCAGTGTGCGATGGTCGAGTCCCACCTGAGCGACGTGATCACGCTCCACACCGACGTGTCGGGGTACCTGATCGGCGTCTCCATAGTAACCTTACCTGGAGCCTGCAGAGGCGCCGAGGTGGAGGATGAAGTCGACCTGGAGGTTTTCAACACAACTCTGAGCATCATGGCTCCTGTAAACGCTCCAGGGTCCGTCCTTAAGCCTGATTTGGTTCTGATTCAGAAGAAATAGTTAGAAAATAGAATATTAGAGTATTTGTTTTTCTTTTCACTGAAGCAACAATAAATTGATCATTGTTGTTTAAGTAAAGCTTGAAATATTTTAATTAAACAAAGTAACTTGATTTATTTATGTTTTTGTACATGCAAAACTTCAAATGTTTTTATCTTAAATGAAAGGAATCCAGTTTGTTAATTATTTTGGGCTCAATTTGAAGGAAATTGAAAAAAATATTTTGTTAATTCTCCCCAATAAAAGCAGTCCTCATTTTAAAACATAGCCGAGTGTTTTAGTTGTGACGTACATAATTCAGAGACTGAGGTCCAGACAAAAGTCAGGGAGCAAAAACAATCTTTAATACATCTGCAGACGGAGAGCAAAAATGCACTGCATTAGGCGACAAGTCATTTTCTTTTTTTTGTTTATTTGTTTGAAAATTGATTAATTTAAATCTGTTTTTGTTTTGTTTTTCCAGACCGGAGACAGCTCTGTTCCTGGAACGGATGGAACAAGAATCTGAGAAGAAAGGAAAGAATCCACAAGAGCAGAAATCGTTCTTCGCCAAATACGTAAGAGCGATCCGAGTTTCTGCCGATGCTTTCAGGGTTTATGAAAGGTTTAAGAAGTCACAGTTAACCCATAGTTAGCAGGTTACATATTTTATTTCACAGAAAATATTTTCAGAGTCATTTTTATTTCAAACATCCTTTCTGAGTTATTAGTGCCAGCCTATGAGGACTTTGGTTCTTCTTGAAATTAAATTTTTGTAATGAGAAAAAAAACACATTGAGTTATCAGGATCAGTTTGTGTTGTTGTTTTGTGGAAATAGACTTAGCTGTTGCTGCTGCTAATAATTTAGTGCTGATGTGTTAAAATGTTAAATAGTTCTATTCAGTATCATCTCTAAAACATCACAAGATGCTCATCTTTCCTCATTTAAAGCTTTTATTTTTCATGTAAAAGTTCTCGTAAATTTATGACTTTATTCTGGTAACATTACGACTGAACTCGTATTATTTTCATCATCAGAAAATAAAATCGTAGCTTAGCCCTAATATTTTGTCGTAGAGTTGACATGAATTCAAATTCAGGGTATATAGAGGCTGTAGAACAAGATGGCCGCCCTGGGTGCGCTGACATCACTGAACTTTGGAAACTGAAGGAAAAAATATAGAAATTTTCCAAAAATGAAATCTTCAGAAACCAAAAATTTGACTAATCGATAAAAATTATTTAGCAATTAATCAATTTGTTTAGCGATTAATTGGTTTCGTCAATGAATGATCAACATTTTTTAGCTGCAGAGGGATCAGTCACACGTTTTTGAACAAAGTTATTTTTCCTCAAAGTTTTCGAGACCGGAGCCTCTAATACCGGATTTCTGTATTTATTGATTCTCTGACACTCAGCACGACTTTCTGCCGGTGCAGCTTCTGCAGAGACGCAGGAAGCATGAAGCACCGGCTGCTTTTGGCTAAAATAACAGAACGCTTTCTGTCTTATTAATGTGAGCTTCCAGCCACGCTCAAACAGAAATTATGAAACATTTCAAACCATTTCAGAGCTGCAAAGTTTTCCTTCATGGCTGAAATCATGATCAATCAACTATTTAAATAATCAACAACTAATTTAGTAATTGATTAATCATTAACTGGAGAATTGAGACTTAAAGGCCATTTACTGAAAAAAACACCCAAACATTCAGAGCAGAGAATGTTTGGGTAAATATAAATATATTTTGAATTTAAGATATAAACAGTTTTGTTTGTGTTTCTTTACCTGGTTCAGATTTACTGAAGAAATTCTGTTTTTGCATTTTAGGTTGTTTTTTTTTCTTTTAGTTAAAAAAGGAATTAAAGTTTTTATTTGCATAGTTTCGTTGATTTATATTATTAAAGACTTAAGCAGTTAAATGAAAAATCTGGAGAATGTTTCTTTTTTATCTGGTTAATCCATTATTCTGACAATGAATACATTAATCAGTAAGTAAAATAATTGAGTTACTAATTAAGTTACAGATTACTTTCCTTCACCTGCTCGTTAATTTACATCTGAAATCAAATTTAAGCAGCAGGCAGTTCTAGCGCCACTGTAGACAAAGAAAAAAGGAGTCGATTGACCCCAAAAAATGTTGTCATTTCTGACTGAAAAGTGGAAAACTTGTTAGAAAAAAGTTTAATTTTGAAATAAAGCTAGAATTTCTTTTACTATTGAAACTAAAATTTTCACTTTTTTTTCCTGAAGAATTTGAGGTTAATGTCAAAATTCAAAGTTTTTTCTAGCAAATGTTTAACTTTTCAAACTCAGAAACTTTCAAACTTTTTTTTAGAAAATGTTTGTGTTTTTTCCTGCCAAATCTTAAATTTGAATAAGGTCTACATTTCCAAGTTATTTTCTAGAAAACTTTTCATGTTTCAAACTTAAGAAATGTCCAATTTTGAAAACTCAGAATTTCTAGAAGATTTGACTTTTTAAACTCAAAAATGTTCCCACAGAATTCTGGGAAATTGTTTATGTGTGTGTGTGTGTGTGTGTGTGTGTGTGTGTGTGTGTGTGTGTGTGTGTGTGTGTGTGTGTGTGTGTGTGTGTGTGTGTGTGTGTGTGTGTGTGTGTGTGTGTGTGTGTGTGTTTCGGAAACTTTTCGGCTTTTCACATTTAGAAATATCCAAAAGAAAAAATTCTAGTCAATATCTGATGAATCTCAAAATTTCTGAGTTTTTCTGAAAATTGTGTCTTTCTGAGTTGACAGAAAATTGTCAACTTTTGAAACCCAAATATTTACCAGTTTTATTTTCTAGGACATTTTCTCTCAAACTTCTTCTGATTTTGGTGTAGATTTACTCCTCTTTTTTCTGTGCAGTGGTCGTGATACGCTGTTGCGGTACACAGAGCTCTTTTTGGTCGTTTTATCGGGCCAGGTTCCTGCGGCCTGTTGCGACCCGGTTCTGTGTGATCCGGCCCGGTCCTCGGTGTCGTTTTGTGCCGTGTTTGTGCCTCGCTGTGTGTCCAGTGACTCTGTGTTGCTGTGTTCCAGTGGTATTTGATTCTGGGAGGTGCCATCTTCCTCATGCTCACCAACTCGGCACAGCCCCCAGCAGGGGGCGGCAGAGAGCAGAGCTGATTCCCACTGAAGTACAGTTTCCTTACTTGTGGCTCTTCCTCCTTCTCTTCGTCTTCCTCCTCCTTCTTCTCCTCCGTTTGTGTTTAACCACAAACTGTAGTTTTTCGACTTCTTCCTTCTTTTTCCTCTCTTCGACTTCTCAAAAGTCTAAAACCAAATACATTTTAGGCTGATAGTTTCTAAAAATCGACTGAATCCAAACCTTTAGAAAGTTAGTGGAGCCTAAAAGTTTTTGGTGTTTGACTCTCTAGTCTCTAACCCTCCTGGAATATTTTAATATTTTCTTTTTCTGTTGAGAAATAAATCTGATCTTACCTGGGAGGAAATAAATCAGCAACTTTTACCAAATCCATGCAAGTGATCACAGTTAATTCTATGTAAATAATAGTAGTTATTTAAACCAGGTCTGTTTTTCTTCTCTTGCAGTGGATGTACATCGTGCCTCTCGTTCTTTTCCTGATGATGTCAGGGGCCCAGGACCAATCAGGTGGCGGCTCTGGTGGTGGAGCCGCCAACGGAGGAGGTCGATGATCTACTGTTTGTTTTCCGGTATCATTCACTGAATAATGATTCTCAGTTTTTATCTGCTGTACATAAAGCTATTTAAGGAGGAACATATTTGTTGTGCATCTGAAATCTGTACAGTAAAAAGGAAACTTTGTGACCCGCAGGTGACTGCACTTTTACTACTAATGTGGAAAATAAAGTATTTATTACTTTGTCTTTATTCTTTATTTATTTCACTACAGATTCGTGTTGTTCTGTAAAATTAACATTCCAGTGTTTTTTAAATCTGCTTTATTGATAAACTTGTACTTAAAGGGGAATAAAAGATGCAAAATAAAGCCTTTAATAACTTCTAAAGTCTTTATGAAAGTATAATCTGATATGACCAGAAGATAGCTGTTCTGTATAAATTAAATAAGAAATTGCCTAATCTTAGAATTAAACAATTGATAATTTAATCAAAACGATGCTTTTAGCGCCCTCTGCTGGAGATGTTGCCGTCATATTTTTTGACTATCAAGCTTGAAGTTTTTCTGTAAAATAAAAATTATATAGAGCTGACTTGTAACTATATAAAAATGTAGTGATGACTGTATGCAAATTCATTCATATTTTGACTTTAGCCATTTCGAGTGGAAATAAATCTGAAGGTACCCTTATTCCTCGCCAAAATTTAATTTTTATTGCGATTTATATGAAAAGTCTTATCTTCAGTTTTTATATCACTTGTAATTCAGTATTCATTAAATTAATGTTTTTGTAAAAGATATATTAGAGAAACATTGTGTTTCCATTACAAATGTATGCAAAACTTTGTTGATATTCTGCTAATGTCGAAAAAATGCAATTGCTGTGTTTCCTTTCAATAAGAAACAGAATTTAAATCACGTAAATAAGTTTGTTCATGCAATAAGTCATTAAAAACATGCAGCGCCATCATCCTCCAGCCACTTCCTGTCTACGTCTTCTTTGTTGTTTCTGCCAGTAGTGACATCCTGTGGACTCGTATGATATGAAAAAAGTGCTTTCTGTGCAGTTTTGTGAAATCCTCTAAAATAATTTAATCCTACTTGAAAAAGTTTTCATTAAAAATACTTTTTTTTTCAGAAGTGATGTGTTTCTATTAAGCCAATTTATTTTCAAAATGTCAAATTGCTCAACTTTAAGGTAAAGGGAAACGTTGCTAGTGGGCGTCTCCCATTTGTTGCACTGGGACCAGCTGACTGGATCCGTCTCTGTACTTCAGGGATGATCCCTGTGTCAACATTACATCACCTCGTTTTTCCGTCTCCAGCTGTTTTTAGTCCACACCTCCAACTGTGAGGAAAATCCTTTTATTTTGGGAGGCTCAGTTTGGAGCTTCAGCTGCGTCTCTTCTAATCACCAGAAAGATCTTTGTCAGAATGACTCACTCTGTTCCTTGTGCTCCTCCGGGACCAAACCCACTCGTCGCCTCTGCTGTCAGAACCGGGAAGGCTGAAAAAACAAGTCATATAAGATTTTACTTAGACCACAGATAAAAACATACTGGTTCAATTTCAGATAATTTCATTTATGACATGGGAAAAGTGTTCTAAGTAAAATAATCTACCAGTAAAATTAGCATTTTAAAAATCAATATTAAAGAATTATTTACTTATAACATGTTGATTAGTTACTTGTAAGTTAGTGTCTTATTTTAAGTGTAAAATATTCACACGAGAAACTAGACTAAAAGTACTTACTAAGGTTTTGCGTTTTTGCAGTGGGCTGCTATGAGCTGTTCAGTTTATTTGTTTCTGTTGTTTCATTTATTTATTTTGGATATTTAAAATGTCTTCCAATTTCAGGCTTAGACGTTTAAAATTTATTTCACAAATGTTTCTTACATTGTTATGGCATTATATTACTTTTGTGTTCATTTTTATCAAGTAAATCTTTTTGCTCCTCCTCCTTTTCAGGGGTTTCGGTAGATTTATCAATACAAACCTACGGAAGAAGATTGGGGCCACAAATAAAAATGCTTCAGAATTCTAATTTTGTCAAAGTCCAAATAAATATCCAAGCATCCCAAAGTGTTGTTGGTATATGAAAATAATCACATAACTGTTTCTTTCTATATGATTGTTACCCTATAATTGATCCACACCAAAAGCCTGTCCCAAATTTATTTGCTAGATTTGAGTTTTAAGACTATATTTGCCTGAATTTGCATAAACAATTTAAGCAACTCTGATTCTGAGAAAAAATGTGAGTTCTCAATTTAATTTGAACTAAATTACATTTTCCTTCCACACAAACCGTCTATTGCTGGAAACAAGCTATATTTGTTCTATAAATGCTGAGAAAATAGTGAGGATTCTGAGATTAAAGTCTGTATTTTAACATTAAAGTTAGAATTATAAAAACAAAAAACATCAAAATTCTGACATTGACGTGCAAACTCTGAGAAAAGGTTACAATTCTCAATTATGTTTGAGCTTTATTGAATTTTCCTTGTATACAAACCCTCAGCTGAAGGGAATGAACTATATTTATTCCCTAAAATGTTTACACGTCACTTTCTCTGCAGTCTTGAGGACTTAATATCTGTGCATATTTCATTGTCACAAAAGATAAATGGTGCGACTTGAGGCGCAGGGAAGGGGGGAAACATGCCGGCTGCAATGCGGTGACATAAATCACAGTTGCTTTGCGACCAAAGTCAGCATGACTCCACGTGTCAGGCAGACCCGGCGGTTCACACACCTCTCCTTTGACATCTTGTGATTAGTAGGCACTTTGGAGGCTCATGTTTCTCTAAAAGTGAGCTGGCAGAGTTAATTTGATCTGTCGTTTCCACGCTGTAAATCTGCTCATGTTGTCTTTAGTCGCAGAATAATCTCATTTTGTTGGAGGTGTCAATCTGCTCAAAGGTGCTGAGAGATCATTACGCTTAATGATCAGTGGCTCATTCACTCCAACTAAAACCAGGTTTTGTAATAAGAAAAAAGGGTTTTAACCACTGCCAGGGTAGTTTTAATCAGTCAAATTCTCTGATGACGCCGCTGCAGGTGAGCATTGTTGTTACGTTTTGCAGTATCTGTATTTCCATTACAAATGAGCGCAAAACTTTAATATTTCAATAATGTCAAAAAAAGACAAATTATGCAATTGTGATGTTTCCAAAATATAAAATCGTGATTAAAATCAGACATAAATAAGTTTGTTCACGCAATAAGTCGTTAAAAAACATAATCCGCCAACGATTTCCTGTCTTTGTCTTCAGCTGCTAACAATAGAGTTAAGTTGTTGCAATGGCCCAGTCAAAGTCCAGACCTCAATCTGATTGGAACCAATTGAAGCTGTTTGGAACCAGTTACAACCGACTGGAACTGGTTGGATCTAGTTGGAACTGGTTGGATCTAGTTGGAAACAGGTTGGAACTGGTTGGATCTAGTTGGAACTGGTTGGAACTGGTTGGAACTGGTTGGATCTAGTTGGAACAGGTTGGAACTGGTTGGATCTAGTTGGAACTGGTTGGATCTAGTTGGAACTGGTTGGAACTGGTTGGATCTAGTTGGAACTGGTTGGAACTGGTTGGATCTAGTCCTCCCAATGACTCAGTTCCACTTCAAGACAAGTGAGAAGGTGAAAGTCGCTGACCTCTTAGTCATGTGAGAAAGAAAGTACGAGGATTACAAGGAGACGTCTTATTGAAAGCCTATTAAAAGCCGCCCAGCAGGTCTCCTTCGCCTTCCACACATTGTATTCCCTGCGTGTTGCTATATCTTTCACCAGTGCCTCATCATATTAACATGTCATGCAGTACAAGTCTTTAAGGTTATGCAGCACCAGTCTGGGATTGTTGAGGATTTGATAAAGTTCCCAAGAGGCTCTGAAACAAAACAGTTTGAACTAAGCTGCTGACAGTAGGAAAGACCCGTGGTGATATTTCATCCCTCACACAGAACCCATATTGTAATGTTAGAATGAATTCACACCAGCTCTGTTGAGGTCGCTTTAATTGAACTCCAGTTAATTTTTCTGGAAAGTCTAGTTCATTTGGGAAGGGGTGAATGCATAATCGAACCAAATAAGCAAACTCTGGTCTGCCTACAAAACTCAGTCTCGGTTCAGTTCAAGTGAACTTTAGTGCGTTCACAATGCATATGTGGACATCAAGTGGACCAAAGTCCGCCCCAAAAGCAGGAAGTGGACAACAGAGGAAGGCATTCTGGGTAAATACAACCAAAACAAACTTGAGAGTCCAGAACTCGGAAGACAATGGCTGTGTTTTCCAGCAGCCATTGTACAGCACATATAGCAGGAAAAACACCACTCCATTTTATTTACAAGGATGTTGTGATCAGTGCCTTTTTCTGAGGTTTTTGTATCGTTTCCTTCAGTGGTTCTGGGTACTGCGTCCCCACAGGCGAGAAGGGGAACAAATATTTCAATCAATCTGGATTGTTTGATACAATAGAGTTAAAGCAAAGTGCAGCAGCTGAAAATGTAACAAATATTGAAATTTTGGTCCCACATTGAACTGAGTCTGTAGGACTCAGTTCAATGAATACTGTTGTGGTTCCCTCTGTTCTGCACAAACTTCACTACTATCAAATTATCACATCAAATATGGAAAATGTAGGTGTGAAAGCAAAGATGAAACTTTCACTTGCTTTCAACTCATCAGTAGGTTTTAGTCCCTGATGCTTTTAGCTTGTTTCTGCATTACTTCTGATCAGGGACATTTCCTTGCAGGCACATTTTTGTTCTTCTATTTGGGTTTCAACTGCCTCTAAAAGCAGCCCAAGCGTTTAAAAACAACCCAGCGACCCAAACGGAGCTCCACACTGCAAATACACAAAATCTAATTTCTATTACAAAACCAAACATAGCAGGAACTTTTTAGCAAGATACTGGAGCTTGATTTAAGTGAATAATTTCTTCATGTTGATGAAAAACAAATAGTTAAACTGGTAGATTATTTCACTTATAACATGGGAAAATTGTCTGGATATAAGTAAAAATAATCTGCCAGTGGAAATAATTTTTTTTTTTATTTTTTATCAATGTTAAAGAATTATTTACAAAAATGAAGCTCTCATATCTCGCTAAACAGATGCAAATATTTTAGTCTTATCTCAAAAGACTAAGATATTAGAAATGAGGTCAACATTTTGTGTTCAGTGACATTTCTCCGTACTTCTTCGTTACCAAGCAACACCAGTCGAGCCCCGCCCCGTTACCCTAGCAACCTGAACGGAACTCCAGAATGTTTGGTCAGCTGGTTTTACTGCTGTATTCGCTGTACAATGGCTGCTGTTCGAAGCTATATGTTGGTGTAATTGCTAATCTGTTTGCAGCCATTTTCACATCAAATGTAAACATTGTGTTAGAGGGTTGGTTGGGGGGGTTGAGGGGCAGCATCAGCTTATTTGGATTTAAAATGACAAGACGACCCAAAACAGCTCATAATGAACTAGATCTCATGATTTGAGAATGATTTTGTGAAAAAAAGAAATGCAATGAACATGTTTTGTAAAGTCCTATTCCAACCTGTTTAAGGGGCAGAATAGCAGGTGACCTTTAAGGCAGAAAAGTGATAGAATCAGGGCAATCTGTACGGTGAAGACCGTCCTCCAGCTGTTGGCTCCCATATAACATCTGTTGGTACAGTTTGTTCCCAGTCAGAAGTCCAGGGCACAACGGCAGCAGCTCCTGATGGATGGGATCTGGGAGCGCTGACAGCTCCCCAGTGAGAAGCTGGCCTCCTTCTCACATAGTGACGGCTCAAACCCTACAAACAGAAAATAACCCCACGACCCGGCATCTGGATTCGGGATCAGTTTATCGTTAGCGGCCATTCTTTCTCAGTTAAAAGGACTGCAAAGGGCACAGCGCTGCAGGTTTTTTCACCCTCATTTGTCTTGAAGAAACACATCGATTTATCATCTCATTTAATACGAGGCAGGCGTGTTCCTCCTGCACATGCTCAGTGCGAGTGTATGCAAACATGCTGGAATGGTTGGGATGTCCTCGGTACTTCAGCCCGGTTCCCAGTAAAAAGTATCACGAGTTTCAAGTGACGGGATCGTCCTTTTTTTGGGACAGTTCAATCCGATCCGACAAAAAACGGCTCATCAGTCTGCCCCTCCTCACTCATCAGAAGTTGATAAAGATGAGCCTTGGGGTTACCAGGAAGCACTTTGACAAGAGCTGCCCGCCAGAACCCAACAGAACCATGCCGGTCCCCAAGAAAGCAGGTAAGAATGGAGTCCCACTGAACCAACTGGTTCCCAATCATCCCCGCTTATTACTATTTTTACCACATTATTCTGCAAAAATACAAAATCATACCAAGTATTTTGGTCTAGTTTATGGAGCAAATATTTTATTACACATAAAAAAAAAACTCAAAACAAACTAGCAAAATATCCTGGCTTATTTTAAGTAAATAAATCTTGAATATTAATAAAATGTTCTAGATTTGCTGGCAGATTATTTCACTGTTGCTGCTGAAAAGTTATTTGCAAGTTAGTTTTGTCGTATTTCAAGTGTAATGAGGTATTTTCACTATAATCTAATCCAAAATACTTGGTTTTTGCAGTGCATTACACATATTAAGTCAATTTGTTTTGTTTCGTTAGCATTTCTAATTCAATTTTAATGCGTCTCCATAACACATCTGAAATTTAATACTGTCTTTCCGTGTGTCTTAACATATATTTTAAGTGTTTTATATTTATTTTAATGCTTTCTGATGTTTTCTCAATTAAAAATGAAATTAGTTTCTTTAGTTCAACACTATCTATTGTAGTTTAGTAACTCTTTACACAGAAAAATATAAACTTGATAAGTATTTTCCATATAGTCAAATATCTTAGCTTTAAAAAAGACAAAACTAACTTATAAATAATGTTTCAGAAAGATATAAGAGTTTGTTTCAAGTCAATAACTCCTTAATATTTATGAATGAAACAGTATTAGTTGGACCAGGTGAAACTAAAACTGCCAGATTAGCCAGTTTAGTTTTGGCTAAAATACTAAAAAATATTTAGACAAATGTGTTATTTTAAGTGTAATACATATATATATGTAAATATATACATATATATCTACAAATATTATAGTTTTGGATTAATTACTGCTCTGAATATGCAGTTTTTTCAGCAAATAGCCTCTTTTAGTCCATATGCTCCAGTCAACAATTAATCATTTACTAAATTAGTTGATTATTTCACTTATTGATTCATCACGATTAGCCATTTCAGGATAAAAGCCGTTTTGCTCCTTCGTGTTTCTGAGTATTTAAAATGTCGCCACCAGGCTCAGATGTCGGATCACTGGGGTGTCTTTGTTTTTCTGACATTAACCGTCCCGGGTTCACACTGATTTATTGCTCGTCACTTTGTTTATTACCAGTTTTATTGGGTTGTTTATTTGCCGTCATTTAGTGTCTTCATACCGTCGGCCTGGCAGTCCAGCTCCCAGCCAAACAGCCGTCGTCACCTCAGGTCACGCCAGTGTTTCCCCGACCATTAATCACGTCAACAAACTGTGTGGCTTTGCTACTGAGAAAGCGGCCGTCTCAGTGTCACATCGCCTTTTTATTCGCCTTCGGTAATCCTGACCTGTTGCAACATGACCACTCCATGCGTCTTTCAGATGCTTTTCTTTGAAGATGTCTTGTTTCTGCAGAAGAGGATGAAGGCCACTGGGGAAACAAATTAAAATTCTGACCTTGATCTCAGAGCGCAGACTTTTTCCTCAAAATTCTGACTTTTTCTCAATTGTTTCTTTTTTGAATTTTGACTTATCAGAATTCTGACTTTTTTTTTTTCCAGAATTGCGACTTTTTCTCAAAATTCAGTTTTTTCTCTGGGTTGACTTTTTCCCAGAATTTTACATTTTTCTCAAAATTCAGACCTTTTTCTCAATTATTTTTTAATCTGAATTTTGACTTTTTCCCAAAATTCTTTCTCAAAATTCCATCTTTCCGACATGACTTTTTTCCTCAGAATCTCAACATTTTTCTCAAAATTCTGATTCTTTTCTCAGAATTCTGACATTTTCTTCCTCAGAATCATAATTGCTTTAGCCGTTTAAGCACCATCACGTAATCTAATCTTGAAACTCAAGTCTACCGAATAAAATCGGAACAGACTTTCAGTGGATCACGTTCTGGCTGACAAATCCAAGAAGGAAAAACACAAACGTGTTTATTTCTGTATGCTAACAACATAACTGACATAAATCTAAGTATGTTGGATTATTTGTTTGGATTTGACAGGTTTCTGAGATTGAAGTCAACATTTTTATGTTTTGTTGACCCTTTCTTCTTCTCACTTCCAGTCCATGCCTAACAGCTGACATAACCCACGCCACCTAGAGCCTCCAGCCCAGTTGTTACTAATCCATCCTCCTGCTGCTGCAGTAATGAAGTGTGAAATGCTACACAGTAATTCAAGTAACAAAATGCAAAAGCTCATATCGGAGTTATTTATGGCCGCTTGATTGAAGCACAAGGTAACACAAAGTGATTTATAGCGTCAGAATTTTGTTGATTTATTTTATGAGAAAGTCAGTTTGAAGGATGAAATTTCTCCCCCCGCACCTTTGTTCCATTTTTCCAGCCGGTAAGACCTGACACCAGATAAAAACACCAGGGGATGAGACCAGATCTGGCCCTCATGTCCCGACCCTCTGATCTTGCTGTCTCAGTGGGACGTTTTGAAACCGATCTGCCCAGACGAGTCGCTCCGTCCCAATGAGACCGGAGTCGTGGAGAGGAAAAAGTCCGCTGGCCCGGCTGTCCAAGACCGAAAACTCCCATAAATTATCCAAGGAGCCGCGACTGACCTTTTGTGACTTCGGACTGTTAATTTGAGACAAAATCCGTCAGAATATGTTCAAAACAAAAACACGAGTGTTTTTAAGTCTCGGTTCTTGGGCAAATATCGAAGCACACTAGAGATAAGAAAAAAACTAACTTTTCAGCAAAATATAGGAGTTTGTTTTATGTAAATAACCCCTGAATATAAGTGGAAAAGTTCACCTGGCAGATTAGTGCAACGTGGAGAAAATGTTTTGTGAAATGATCTGCCGGTGGAACCAGAACTTTTTAAAAATCAATTTTATGAATTTACTAACCCAACTCAGACATCGGGACGAGAAGCTAGAAAAAAAAAAGATTTGGTTTTTTGCAGTTAAGTCACCTTCAATGGACGCTGTGCCGTTACCTAGCAACCCCAGCCAAGCTCAGCCCCGTTACCTAGCAACCCCAGCCAAGCTCAGCCCCGTTACCTAGCAACCCCAGCCAAGCTCAGCCCCGTTACCTAGCAACCCCAGCCAAGCTCAGCCCCGTTACCTAGCAACCCCAGCCAAGCTCAGCCCCGTTACCTAGCAACATAAGCATTGCTCCATCACGATTGGCCGGCTGGGTTAGCGTTTTATAAACTAGATCAAAAACACAAAATGGCTTCTGTGTTGTTGCAGTTCAAAGGTCATATGGTCAAAAACATTTCAACACTGCAAAAGATTTAGGTAATTAATTCCTTCATGTTGATTTTAATAAAGTATTTGATGGAGTGGCAGGTTATTTTCCTCGTGAGACATTTTCTCATGTTACAAGTGGAATAATCAATGGAACTGGAACTTTATCAATATTACAACAATGTTTACTCAAACAAGCTCCGATGCCTTGCTGAAAAGTTGCTTGTCAGTTAGTTTTGTCTTATTTAAAGTGTAATAAGATATTTGCACTACAGGCTCGTCCAAAATACTCAGTAAGATTTTGTGTTTTTGCAGTGTTCAGAGGTTTTAACATCAAACGTCTTCCAACACTGCAAAAGCACAAAATCTTACAGGGCATTGTGGTCGTGTTTCTAGCGCAAATATGTTAATGCACTGGTAGTTTCTCATCAATAACAAGGAATTATTGACCTAAATATTCTACACCTTGCTGAAAAGTTAGTTGTCAGTTAGTTTTATTTTATTATAAGAATATTAAGGTATTTGCAGTGGAAAACAGATCAAAATACTTGGTAAGGTTTCATGTTTTTACAGTGTAGAAATAGTTATTAAAACTACAGGAGATGTCATATAAAATCTTGGACTGTGGAGACAAATTGCAGTTAGAAGTGAGAAAACATCGGACAGAAATAAACATAAAAACACTGTAACCATGTGATTTTGTATTTTTGCAGCGTTCAAACGCAGAATTGTACCAAAGTTTATCCCTTTTAAAGAGCCGGTTCCTTTAAATATCCTCATGCCTCCCTGCCACGTGTCCTTCATGTCTCTATTGCGGCGATGTCAGGCCATCCGTCATGGAGTCAGTTTATCCCGGCTGGGCTTCCTGCTGCTCTGTGGAACATCCTGGATATTTTCAGTCTTCCAGCTCGCCACAGGCTTGACGTCTCACTCCTGACCCGTCTGCGCTGTTCGCCGTTTTCTCTCTTTCTTCTTCGTTGTCTCATTTAATGAACAGAGGGCGCGGTCAAATGACACTGACAAGGTCATCCGTGTCTGGCTCGCCTGTTTTCTGTCGCGCCACCGTCGACCTTTGCCTCTTCTAATGTTGAGCATTCGGAACATGGTGTCTCCGTACGTTCTGTTAATGTGACGGTTTTATGTATCAAGTGGTTTCTTATTTAAAAAGTTTGCAATCATCTCCTCGGATAAACAAGAACACATGTCAGACAGGAACGTTCACAGATAGAGACAAGATGCCATTTTTCCTCTGGTTAGAGCTGGAAAACAGATCACAACGTATGTGTTTTATCATCGGTCAATATTGACAATTAGTTTTTTTGTTTTAATTATCTAAATTTCTGCCAAACTGGTGACGTGACTTTCCTGTTATATCCACAGCTTTCTCAGTTTTTTATTTCTAAGTACTTGTGAGGAATGGATGGTAAACCTTAAACTGCTGCTGCGCCAGTTACTCAGCAGACTGTTGCTAGGTAACGGAAGAGTGAGTGAGTTGCTAGGTAACGGAAGAGTGAGTGAGTTGCTAGGTAACGGAAGAGTGAGTGAGTTGCTAGGTAACGGAAGAGTGAGTGAGTTGCTAGGTAACGGAAGAGTGAGTGAGTTGATTCTGCTAACAGAAATAGCTCCAGGTCGGGGGTTTTTCTCATTGTTGTCATAGTTTCAAATCTAAAGACAGTAACAAGAAATAAAGATAAAAGTAGTTTAACTGCTTTGCTGGACGGCCAGTGAAAAAAAATTGAACGTATGCGCCGGTGCGCAGAAATCAATAATCAAATGTGAGAAAAGACAGAATATAAATTTTTCTCATGAACATATACAATGTTGTAAAGTCAGATAACTCATTTCGTTAATATCATAAAAGATGTTTTTATTATAAAAATGAGTTTTTTTTGTCCTGGATGAATCTACTAGAAGGTGTACTGATGGTAGCTACCAGCCAACAGTCCCACCAGTCATACACAGTTTTCTACTTACATTATGTCCGTTTTTATAACATTGTCTAGGAAAGTAGGCCTTCTTATATGAAGGAGTGTTTTAATCCATATAAATAAATGTGTTAATGTACGTTTTAAGAATAATCCAGAAGTATTTCTTCAGCATATGGACAAATGAGCCAAAGAAAAGTTTGCAACTGCAGACAAAATGTTATGTGCTCAAAGTGACTGCAATATAATCCTGCTTTCTGTTTTGAAATCTATAGGGAAAAAAGAAAGCAGCGCTCCAGAAGGTAAATCACCAAATTCTGTTTGTTTGGACTCACTCATCCTGGTAAATGCTAATAAACACATCTTTGTCTCGCTCTAGAAAAGCTGCCGCCGTATGAGCCAAATATCCCCGAACCAACTACCAGAGCTGACTTAATGAAATGTAAGGCTTTCTAAAGCTTTTAAATGTCCGTTATTTATACCGACACTGCAAAAACACAAAATCTCAGAAAGTGTCGTTGGCCTAGTTTCTAGTGCAAATATCCCAGTACACTTGAAATAAAGCAAAAAGAACTCAACAGTTGTAAAAAATCCCTCATAAGTTTCAAAAACCCCTACAATAAATTGCAGGAAAATACATGTGATTCATTGTTGACTTATCATGTGGAAACCACTTGCTGCAATCTTGTTGGTTGTGCAGGAGGATCCACTTCTGCTTTTCAAAGGTGTATGGTTGTATAATTGCGCATCTCTTTAGAGCCATTTTCACGTCCGACTATAAACTTTGAGTTTGGGGGGCGTGGCCAGAAGCACTTTATTTGGATTCAAAGTGACAAGAGGCCCTTAAACAAAATAGGTCACCTTTAAGAACGTCCATGTTTTAGCTACATTTTCGCGTTTAAGTTATTTTCCTACCTCCTCAGACTGGCTCCCCATCTCTCTGAATGACAAAACAGCACAGAAGCTGCTGTGGATTTCTGAGGGCAGCACCAAAGTGGCTCGTACGTCGGACGCAGTCTGCCCTTATCCCAACAGGCCTGAAAGATACCAGGACTCACCACAGGTCGGAGGCCAAAGGTCACAACATGGCGACGCCCATTAACATTGATTTACGAAAGGCCATAATCAAACACTGCTTTTGATTGGTTCAGTTTAGAGTTACTTTAAACCAAGTAAGATTGGTTTTAGACGCACTTTTACATGTGTGTCTTGTGAATTAAATGCGTTTCAAACGTATTTAATGAGTTGACGCGAGGAGCGGCCATGTTGAAATAACTGAGGTTAGTAGAGCTGCTACAACTTTCCCCGTAAGAATTCAGACTTTGGAGGAAGTTTCAGTTGATTTTTTTGACTGGGAAGTTGACCTGTAGCAGTTCCAGAATTCTGAAAAAAGGGAGCAAATTTCTAGGAAAAATTTAGAGATTTTGAGATTATTCTAAACATTTTCCAGAAAAAACTTGGAATTGTCTGAGTTTCAAAAGTTCTGACTTTTAAAATAAATCTTAATGTTACACTTTTTTATATTTTGAAGGTTTTTTTCAGTGATTTTGACTTTTCAAACTCAGAAATGTATTTTTTTGTAGAACATTTCTGAGATCAATCTGAATATTTCAATTTGTTCTAGCAAATTTCTAGAGTTTTTCCAGAAAAAGTTCCTAGAAAAGGTTAATCAAAACATTTTTTGTGTAAATTTTCTGTAGCTTTTTCTTTCCTCCTCTGCAGGCCACCGTAGAGCGGAGCGCTGCGGGTTTCACGAATGTCTCCCGTTGCAGGTGCTGTGTAAGGAGGGCTTGATGGGCGTCCGAGCCTACTGGGAGGTGGACTACAACGGCTGGGTGGTGATCGGCGTGGTGGCGGAGAGCGCGCCCCGGAGAACCCAGGAGGAGCCCTGCGGTCTCGGGGAGAACAAAGGCTCCTGGGGGGTCGGCTGGTCCGGTTCCTGCTACCAGGTCTGGCACAACGGCGAGAACATCGACATCCAGCTGCCTCCATCCCCAACCGTGGGCGTCTACATCGACCTGCCGGCCGGCATCATCTCCTTCCTGTCGGTGGAGGGAGACTCCGAGAAGGAGGTGCGGCTGATCCACAAGTACAAAGCCAAATTCGAGGAGAGAATGTTCCCCGGGTTCTGGATCGGAACAAATTCCTTCTGTCTTATCCGGAAAAAAGATCAGTGACACTTGAAAGGGATTTCAATGGAAGCCCATCCATGCCAAAAATGAAAACACAAACTCCTGCAGGAAGTCATAATTTTTGATAGACTGGAGTAACCCCCCTAAGAGAAACTATTTGCAAATTATGACATTAAATCTCGAAATTATGACTTTTATTCTCATAATTATGACTTCAACACTCATACTTATGACTTTTCTCTGTCTGTATTTTTATCAGTTTGACCCTTATTCTTGTAATTATGACTTTAAAAGCTCTAAATGATTACTTTTTCTCATAATTTTAACTAAAACTCGAAATTATAACTTTTCTCCTAAAAATAACTTTTATTCACAAATTATGACTTTTGTGCTTATAATTATGATTTTAAAATTTGTAAAATTAAGAGCTTTAACTCATACAAATGTAACTTGTAAAATTATAAATTTAAAAGTCACATTTATAAGTCTTTTTATTTTTGTTTTTGTGATTATAAAATTCAAAATTTGACTTCTTGTTTGGCTTTTATTTTTTGGTTCATGGCAGAAATGGGCTTCCATAGTTGTTGGAATGGGGCAGCAGTGGTTTTTACCAGAAAGTGTTCATTTAATTGTGATTGGAGAAAAAACTAGCTTTGAAGCACAACTGAATACTTGGAGACTCGTTTGCAGTTTTTGTTTTCTCTGAATGGATAAAAACACCTTCAGACTTTCATTTGTTTTTGTTAATTAAAGTTAGACAAGATAAAGTTGGGTGTTTTTATTACTTTTACCCTGTTTAATTGTCCTGAATGTAGTCAATAAACTAGTCTTCTTCACCGTGTCAGAATGAAGTCAACACTCAACTGACTTTTTTTCTGTGTTGGAATGAGTGAAAACATGCAACTTTAGTGACAACAAGATCAAACCAAAGACCATCACTAATATTTAGTTAAAAGTTCCTCAGCAAGTTGCTCTTCACTGACATATTTCCTGAAGAAATCAACACACTTCTGGTATATTTCCTACCAATCATTCAGGCAGACTTTGGAACCTAAAGCTGTGTTTTGGGGAAATGTTTGTGGGTCTCAACAGCTGATTTAGTTTGTGATCTTCTTATTTATGTTATGGATATGTGCAATTCATTGCCCACCACTAGAATAAAATTCTTATTTAATTGGAAAAATGAACTGAAATGCACTGATGAATTAACACTTTTACCTACAAATACTGTCGAGCGGGAAATTGGCAAGGTAGGCCCACATAACACAAAGCTAGCGATTGTTAGATAATAACGCAGAGCTAGCGAGTGCTAGCTAATAACACAGAGCTAGCAAGTGCTAGCTAATAACACAGAGCTAGCAAGTTCAAGCTAATAACACAGAGCTAGCAAGTTCAAGCTAATAACACAGAGCTAGCAAGTGCTAGCTAATAACACAGAGCTAGCAAGTGCAAGCTAATAACAAAGCTAGTGAGTGCTCGCTAATACCACAAAGCTAGTGAGTGTTAGCTAATAACAGAGTTTGCGAGTGCTAGCTAATAACACAGAGCTAGGAAGTGCAGGCTAATAAGAGAGCTAGAGAGTGCTAGCTAATAAAACAGAGCAAGCGAGTGCTAGCTAATTACAACAGAGCTTGTGAGTGCAAGCTAATAACACAGAGCTAGCGAGTGCTAGCTAATAACACTAAGCTAGCAAGTGCTAGCTAATAACATAGAGCTAGCGAGTGCAAGCTAATAACAAAGCTAGTGAGTGCTCGCTAATACCACAAAGCTAGTGAGTGTTAGCTAATAACAGAGTTTGCGAGTGCTAGCTAATAACACAGAGCTAGCAAGTGCTAGCTAATAAGAGAGCTAGAAAGTGCTAGCTAATAAAACAGAGCTAGCGAGTGCTAGCTAATTACAAAGCTTGCGACTACTAGCTAATAACATAGTGCTAGCGAGTGCTAACTAATAACACAGAGCTAGCAAGTGCTAGCTAACAACACAGAGCTAGCATGTGCAAGCTAATAACAAAGCTAGTGAGTGTTTGCTAATACCACAAAGCTAGTGAGTGTTATCTAATAACACAGAGCTAGCGAGTGTTAGCTAATAAAACAGAGCTAGCGAGTGCTAGTGAATAACACAGAGCTTGCGAGTGCTAGCTAATACCACAGAGCTACCGAATGCTAGCTAATAACACAGAGCTGGCGAGTGCTATCTAATAACACAGAGCAAGCAAGTGCTAGCTAATAGCACAAAGCTAGCGAGTGTTAGCTAATAACACAAAACTAGTGAGTGCTAGCCAATACCACAGAGCTAGCGAGTGCTAGCTAATAACACGGCGCTAGCGAGTGCTCGCTAATGCCACAAAGTTAGCGAGTGTTAGCCAATAACAAAGAGCTTGCGAGTGCTAGCTAATAACACAGAGTTTGCGAATGCTAGCTAATAACACAGAGCTAGCAAATGCTAGCTAATAAAACAAAGCTAGCGAGTGCTAGCTAATAAAACAAAGCTAGCGAGTGCTAGCTAATAAGACAGCGCTAGCGGGTGCTCGCTAATACACTCGCTAACAAAGCTAGCAATTGTTCGCTAATAACACAGAGCTTGCGAGTGCTAATACACTCACTAACAAAGCTAGCAATTGTTCGCTAATAACACAGAGATTGCGAGTGCTAGCTAATAACACAGAGCTTGCGAGTGCTAGCTAATAACACAGAGCTAGCGAGTGCTAGCTAATAACACAGAGCTTGCGAGTGCTAGCTAATAACACAGAGCTAGCGAGTGCTAGCTAATAACACTGACTTCGTAACAATGTGCCACTGTGACCTCCATGTGCAATAAACTTTTAAATATGTTGTATTCACTGGTTGGTTTTAGAACCGGTTCCCTGTGTAATTTTATAAGGGCTTGTCGATCGCCTTGCAAACAAAAGCAAAAAACTTCAATAAGTTGTATTTATTGCTTTTTTTCTGACTTGGCCCAATAGAACTTTTTAAGTGATTTTGGAATGACCTGACTACAAGGGCCAAGCCATTCTTAAATATTTTGGATGCATTTTTCTTCTCATAGCTTTCTCGCTGGCTCACTCTAATTCTACAGCCTCATCCCAGCCAGCGATCCGAACTTCACGAGCATCCTCTTTTCAGGCCAGTCAGAGTTCCCAATGACAACTTCTTTTTCTCATCATCTGGTGGTTCCAACTCCCATTAAGGAGGCATACAAGCAGTGAGTTCACAGACATGCACATTAAGGAGGTCCATGTCATCTACACAAGCTGTCAGTTCAGCACATGCGACAAGATAAAACCAGCCAACTCTTATCTTGATACATGACCGGTCACTCATGCTTGTCACAGTTTCTATGCATAATTACTGCCGGAGGCAGTTGCAGTCATCTACAAGCCTCCTGTTTCTTGATAGTCCGACTGCTAACCAGTCTGACCATCGCCGGCAATAAGGCTTACGAATCTCTAACCTCTCTGTCATGTGGCTGATTACCTAAAAGCGTTCTTGGTAATCCCTTTGTTGACACTGCCCCTTCAAAGGGCTGGCAATCCTGGTTGATGATGAAGGAAAAACAGCATAGCCTTCAGCTTTGTTTGGCCTGAGTGCAGTGCTCGGGCCAAACCAGAGCAACCTGTGGCCTTTTATTAGCAGATTTCGCCCACTTGTGTAAATCTCCACCCACAACAGGAAGTCAACGAGAACATCAACAAAAACATTCCACACCCTTTCTGTCAATTGCCACCATCCGTTTGTGCTGGATGTATGCCGATCAGTCATTCGGCGTCCCAACAGAACACGATCCCCCGATGTGACTCATGGTTTCGCGTACCTGCTCTAGTTTCCTGCTTCAGCAGGAATCCTGACTTATTCAACCCCGCTTTACTTGTTTTCCAAATAATTATTTTTGGGGGGCTTACAGGACGGCTGAAGGTTCCTATAATCTACTTCCATAAAGTCATGCTCCTCTCTTAGCAATTCAAACTTCATCTCATTGCCCTCAGTACAAAATGAAAACACTCAAGGACCTCGAGAAACATAACCATGCATCTATCTGTAGTCGCATTAATTTCTGCTGCAGCATCTTAATTAAAACCAGGGAGATGCAGAACACCAGTTCTAAAGTCATTCCATCTGGCAGCACAGCTTACGAACCTGAAACACTGTTGGTTCGTAAGTCTCTGATAGGTCCAGCACCTCGACACATTGAACATCTGCTGTCGTATCATCCTTCTGGTTCATTTGGTCCTCTGGTTCCGTTCTACGGCAGTAAAAGGGTAAAGACATTACCCAGAAAGACTTAACGTTTCTGTTGGGATATGGGGCACTTCCAGCTACCCCGCTGCCAAAATGTTCTACAGGCTACAAATGAAACCTTTATTTAATCACTACCTTTGAAACGCCACAAGGGCAACGTGACTTTAAAGCTATTGTTCACCCTCATGCCAAGCTTTCCTCGTCGCATCATTTAGCAGTCGCCATTAACTCAGCTATTCCTGCAGGCTATTCGAACATCAGGTCCCTCACCTGGGCATGGCGCACCGTAACTAAATTCTGCACAGCTCTGAAACCTTTGACAGGGTCCTAACCTTCACTATTTGTTCAATCATCTTGCCATTTAAGTGTCAGCTCCCTGGCACTTCAACGGCGACATTTTCTATAAGAACTATGAAGTTCTATTGGGGAATCAATATTTAGATTAAGACTTTCCTTTTGCCTTTGTTCAGGTTATGTACTTCCTTCTAAAGCTCTTTGAACTGCCTAGTTGCCAGAAATGTGATTTATAAATAAAAATGTCCTTTCTTGATGAACAATGGGTAAAAACGTAATTTAAATCCATCACATAATGTAGCTTAACTCAGCAGGTGTTGGTTCACCATACCATTCTAGTAAATTAGTTCCAGAATGCTCAGAGACATCGCAGGTCCTGCATCTATGACTCTCTCACACCATGCTTTTAAATCATTGAGCTTGGCTCTCAATGCCTACGTTCCTCTCTCCTGAAGTCCCCTCAGCTCTGCCTGGTCCTTAAATTTCTTAAAAATCCAAGATTTATGTTCATTCCCGTTGGCCATTTCCAGGCCTCATATTGAGATTACGGGCAGCCTGGACTGCCCCTCAACGTTCAGTCATAACTCCCTTTCATCAACCCAGCCACTGGTCATCATTAGCATCCTCCTCTGGTATTCTCTTTTCTCAGACCTAAAGGCCCCATTTTCACCGCTCTCAGGCAAAAGGTAATAACATAACAAATGATGTGTGGTAGAGTGTTTCAGCAATTCTAACTCCTTTTTGTCAAGATGGACAGCTGCGCTGGCTCCGTTGTCCGGCCGGCCGGCCATCAGCCTGCAGGCCTTGTCCAACATCCACGTCTAACAAGGCTCCATCAGACTGTACCCTGTTTTGGGGGGAAGATTACCCTGAGCTTCGGTCTGAGCTGATCATCCAAACTCACAGTGATTCTCAGCATGCAGGTCTTCTGCCGGTGTCCAAGCGCCAAAGAACTTTGTGTCAATAAAACTTTCTAACTGCTGCTGCTTTTTCTCTGTGTGATTCTCTCTAGTGTCAGTCTTGCCATGTTAGCCTTGTCAAAAATTCAAGCTGGGAGACTCTTCAGCCTGCCGGCATCATCAATCATCATTCATCTGCTTCAGCTGCGCTGCGACCCTCCTCCTCCCCGTCTCCACCCTCATCCTCCCAGGCATCTTCCAGACTCCCTCCAGCCTCCTTCCTCCCCAGGCTCCAGTCAACCACCAGTGCCCGAGCCCGGGCACTGGCCGTCCGTCCGTCCATCAATTTTCTTACGCTTTATCAGCGACACGTGTCCAGACGAACAAATGGCAAGTCCAAAGTTGGCAAAAATTCAAGCTGGGAGACTCTCTTCTGCCTGCCGGCATCATCAATCATCATTCATCTGCTTCAGCTGTGCTGCGACCCTCCTGCTCCCCCGTCTCCACGGGGGAGCAGGAGGGTCGCCTCCTACCGGGCATCTTCCAGACTCCCTCCAGCCTTCTTCCTCCCCAGGCTCCATTCAACCACCAGTGCCCGAGCCCGGGCACTGGTTGTCCGTCCGTCCGCCCATCATCCATCCATTTTCTTCCACTTTATCAGCAACCCGTGTCCGGGTGAACAAATGCCAAGTCCAAAGTTGGCAAAAATTCAAGCTGGGAGACTCTCTTCTGCCTGCCAGCATCATCAATCATCATCCATCTGCTGATACCGGGAGGACCCTCCTCCTCCCGTCTCCACCCTCATCCTCACAGGCATCTTCCAGACTCCCTCCAGCCTCCTTCCTCCCCAGGCTCCACTTAACCACCAGTGCCCGAGCCCGGGCACTGGTCGTCCATCTGTCTGTCCATCAATTTTGCTTCAGCTGCGCTGCGACCCTCCTGCTCCCCCAGTCTCCACGGGGAGGAGGAGGAGGGTCACATCCTCCCAGGCATCTTCCAGACTCCCTCCAGCCTCCTTCCTCCCCAGGCTCCATTTTCCACCAGTGCCCGAGCCCGGGCACTGGTCGTCTGTCCGTCCGTCCATCATCCATCCATTTTCTTCCACTTTATCAATGACCCATGTCCGGGCGAAGAAATGCCAAGTCCAAAGTTGTCTTTCACCATTAAGGTCTTTGTTCTGTGCTATGTCTGGTCCCTCATCCAAGTTCACGGCGACGTTCGTCTTCTGCCGGTGTCCGAGTGCCAAAGCACTTTAGGTCAATAAAACTTTCTTTCTGGTGTTTTTCTCTGTGTGATTTATATAAATCACTAGATTAATTATTTATTCGGACTTGAAAATAATCTTAATGTAGAGTCCCAGAAAGATCTGATGCGGCTGGATTTTTTGGCTGGTTTTACTATTTTGTCTTTGCAAATTGAAATGAATGCCTCCTCTACCACTGAACTGTTGAAACTCAACATTAATAGAATATCTTTTTTTGAGCAGCCCATTCTTTTGGAGGCTGCTTTCAGTATGTCCTTGGTGAGATTGTTCAGATTCCTTTGAATGTCCTTCAGATCTTGTCCCTCTACCTCTGCACAGATTTTCTCAGAGAACCTCTCTACGATGGCTTGGAGATCTTCGTACTTGCATGGTAACCTTGATTTTGGGATTACCTTAATAAGAACTGCATTAAGAAGCAGCATGATGGATGATTTCTTCTCCTTTTTCTTTGTGTCTGGTAGCAGTTTAGCAACCTTTGTGGCAACTACTGGCTTCTGCTTTGCATCAACTTTGTTCTTCTGTTGTGCAGCAGGATCTCCGGCTGCTCCTCTTCCCATTGAAGAGGAGCAGCTCTCCACTGGGCTCTCCACTGGGAGAGCTGCTCCCATTACAGCCTCAGATGACTTCAGTTCCTCCTTCTCTGGGACTGGCAGCGGTTCATCAACCTTTGAGGCAACGACTGACTCCTGCTCTGCATCAACTGACTCTCTGTCTTTTGAGTGGGTCGATTCCTCTGAACTTGAATCTTCCACGGTTGAAATTGTTGATTCTTCATCCTCTGAAGCCAGTGAGACTGTACTGCATAGTTCTGTGTTGTCATTTTCAAGGTCTTCCATTTTGATTGCAGCAGGTTCGTTCGTCTGTTGTTCAATAGGAAGAGGAGAAGCTCCATCTCCAGCTGCTCCTCTTGCCATTGGAGCCTGAGATGACTGCTGCTCCTTCTTCTCTGCGACTGGCAGTGGTTCAGCAACCTTTGTGGTAACCACTGCCTCCTGCTCTGCATCACCTAATTCTCTGCCTTTGGACTGTGTTGATTCCTCTGAAATGAAGTTTTCCACTGTTGGAACTGTGGTTTCTTCCTCCCCTGGTGCCGCTGAAACTGTACTGCCTTGTTCTTTGTTGTCATTTTCAAGGTCCTCCATTTGGATTCCATTTGCTTTGTTCTTCAGTTGTGCAATGGGAAGAGGGGCAGCTCCATCTCTAGACTCTGGGTTTTCAGTTGGTGGAAGGTCATCCAGTGAGTCTCCTGGGTTCTCCAAATGGTGTTGGTCAGAGATTGACTTTTTCACTTCCCTGACCTTTGGCAGCACCTCAAAGATGAAATCTTCCTTCATTTTCAGATTTGACTCCTCTTCCTTCATCATAACTTTGGTGGCTGTTGTCAGATCTGAAAACTCCTCAGAAATAAATTCATCCACCATCTTTATATCTGATTCCCTTTCCTTAGAGATCAAATCATTTTCATGTGTGGCCTTTGAAAGTTCCTCCAAAATGAATTCATCTACCATCTTCAAGTCTGACTCTTGATTTTCAGAAACCAGATTTCTGTCATTCTCCAGGATGTCTGATTCTGGGTTTCCTCTATTCTGTGGAGTTTTGGTGGTGTTGTCCTCCTCAGTTGGATGTTGGTCATTTCCAGTTTGGAAATGACCAACATCCGAGCTGGCACCTGGGTGGTCTTCTCTCTGTTGCTGTTCTTTTGCAGCTTTTTGTTCTCTCTGATAATGTTCTTCACAGCAACACGCTAGCAATTCCTCTAACAGCTGGAAAGCAAGTGGAAGGATTGCATCCACTGCGTCCGACCAAGACTTGTGGCCGGCCACAGATGTTGCTGGATCTTGCGTGGAGTAGACGGATTTCAACAGTTCTTTGACATATGTAATGAAATAGTCATTGAAACAGTCAAAACTCTTGGGATGAACCTTCCCCGTAATCTGAAGACTGTCTGTAAATGTTGTTAGCAGGACATTTCCCAAGATCGCGTCCACATCTTGGAATCTGAAGTCCTTCTCAGGGATATTGCAGAGAATGAAGGAGCCACATTCATTCAATAAGTTTAAAAGCAGCTCCTTCAAGGAGGACTTGGTGTTGCAATCAGGATTCCCCATGGCTAATTCCAGGGTCTGAGCCGATGAAATGGACCTAAAAAACTCTTCAATCAACGGTGCGATCACCTCCCCAGGAAAAACCGGGAGCGCACAAGGCTTTGGATTCTCTAAGTGGCTCATGGCTTCTTGGATTTGCAATGGATACTAAAGCAAACTCTCGGATACTTGAAGAACTATTTAGCTAAAACCGCAAACTATCTCAATCTCTCACCAAACTCCAGCTCTCTCTCTCACCAAACTCCAGCTCTCTCTCAACGAATGTAACAGACTTGTTGCATAAAAACCCCAGAAAGCTCTGTGACGTCATCAATGACCAGATTCTCTTAGCAACCGTTGCTAGGTGAGTCACCAGCTGTGTAGAGAAATAATGTCTAATTTTAAGGAACAAATTAAAAGTGAAGACAAAGTGAAAGTTTCCTTGTTTTAGAGGCTCTGAGGCTGAGAAGTATTCCTCCACTCACTAAATGCTTCCTTCTCCATGTTGTGGTGAGAAAAAGTGATTTAATTGTGAACTTCCTGCAACTATATTTACTGTTTACTGTTTATTCACATAAAGTCTAAATGTGTATTAACAAGAGGTCTCACTGTAACATTGTTTTTTATTCATCATGACCAGAAATTTGACTCCAGTAAGATTAACAACTCTTCAAAAATATTAAAAAGTGAAGCAAAACTATTCTTAAAACCATATTTTTTCTAAAGTTACTGAAATTGATTATTTACTCTGTTTGGCTATAAGTGAAAAATTGTAACACAAATAAAGACTTGAGAACATCAATCTGGGTATAATTAGTGATATTTATATATATTGATATGGGTTTTATGCTTTCATTGATTTTTCTTTCTTGTGGTGCGTTACCGCCCTCTACTGGCCATTTAAATAACATCCAGAGCCGTTTGTTCTTGGTGTTGCTCCTTTATTTGAAACATAAAAGGATTTAACGGAACATTTATGTTTGAAATATCTGAGATGCTAACTTTTTAGCACATCTCTCTTTCTTTCTCTCGCAAACAAAGTCAGTTTCTCTTCCATTCAGGCATTTTAACAACACATCCAGAGCAAATGGGGAAAAAGAAAATCATTAACATCCCCCTGGAACATGAAGTCGATTTACAATCATCCCATCAATCAGTCATTCATTGGTGAAATAAAAAAATAGGCATGTAATGAGAAGGTGCTGGTGTCCTCTGCTCACATTTACAACAAAAGCAACAAGCTTCGTGTTAAAATCTGTTTTTTTACTCTGTTACATGAACAGATGACGGTGAACCAGTTCGTCTCCGTATTTGTCAAAAATTAACCAAACTTTTTTCAAATTACTACAAAGTAAAGTTCCCATTTCTTCAAAGCAGACACATTGAAATTAGGAGTAAAACTTCAATTTGAGGTGAAATCAAAGTTTATGGGTTGCATAAACCTGGAGTTTGAGATCATTGTGAGAGAAATGTTCGAACAGACCTGATTTTATTTTCGGTTTGTTAAGCAGCAAATCTTAAAACTGCACGCTTGGCTGCATTCTTCTTCATCAAAATCTTGCAAAACATTCCAGATTGCACCTTAATTGTACCGACATTAGAAAACTGATCTAAAATTTAAGTTTCTCCAGAATCAGAAGCAGCTTTTCCACTTTTTCTTTTAGACCATTTGAATCAACCTGGGTTGAAAAATACTGACAAAAACCACCAAAATACTCGCTTAGTGTTCAGAAACCCATCATAGCTAAAGCTGAGCAGAAACTATTGTGTTAAAAGTTAGTACGTATATGAAAGCAAAAGCAGCAACTTCTAATTGAACAAGTGAAGTTTTAGTGTTGGAGGTAAAATTCACCTGATCTTCACTAACTGATTCGTTTGAGGTAAATCTAATAGAAGAATCACTTTGGATTATTTCAGAGCAAATCTGGGAGTCAGAGACCCTGATGTGAATAATCCTGAGTCGGGCTGGGCGGTAAATGCTAAAAATAAAACAAACTGTTGGCTTTGTTTTCTAAAATAAGTGGATTTTATCTTACTGACTGAACTGAACGGGAGACGTCGTTGGGGAGAAATAGAGATAGTGTTAAACATGTTATTAGTGTTCGTAACATTTCTTCACAACCCTGTAAAGCAGTTAAATTTTTTTTTTTTAGTGCGTGAAACGATAAACAGACTCGAGCTTTGACACTGATTCACACATTCCAGGCTTTTCTTTTTCTCCTCTCCGCCACGTTTCTTTCCGCTCGCCGTCTCAGTGTTTGAGCGAGAAGTCGCCCGTGTTGAGGCGCGGCCGCGGCAGAGCGCCGAACATCTCCGTCCCGTCGGTGGCGCCGGGGACCAGCAGGGCCTTCATGCTGGCGGCGATGTGCTCCAGGTCGGCGCAGCCCGCCTGGAACGCACACGATTAATCAGATGCATCAATTAATTCAGTAACTGACTGATCAATAACTCCAGTTATTGAGCGTTAGAGCAGCCATTAAGCCAACACTATACACATTTAAGATTAAATTTAAAAAACGGTAAGTTGTTGCACATTAGGCAACAAAATGTTAATTTTATTAATGAAAAAAAAAGGAACTTAATTGTTAATATACATTATTATTTATTCCTCTGGCTAGAACAAAAAATAGGCAGAATGTGCCAATTTTTTTATTATCAAAGAAACAAAATAATTAATTAATTGGATTAATCGTGTTTAATCTGTTATCGAAGTAATTGTCAACAGATTTAGCGATCGATTAATCCTCACCCGCTCGCCGCTGCCGCTGTCTCCCTGCGCGGCTCTGCTGCTCTTGCAGCCCCACACGGGGACGGACACGGGCAGCGAGCGCGCCAGCGCCGTGGGGTGGGCGTGGCGCGACGAGAAGGCGTGCTGCCCCACGGCCAGGCCGCGCGGCGGCGGCGGGGCGTCCTCGCTCAGCGATCCTGGTGCAGGCAGGACCAAGACGCGACGCTTTACTCCAACATGTATGTGAGGAAGAAGAGCTGAGTGATGAACCTCTTACCGTCGGTGCTTTCCTCCTCGCCGTCGGACTCAAAGAACGGCTCACAGTCACGAGAAAGAGAGTCCTCGTCCATGGAGAAAACGCCTGAAAACCGATTACAAGTTTTTAAAAACAGACACATAGAGAAGCAACCAACAAAACATATAAAAAGTATCCAATAAAATTATGACTTTTTAATATCTTACACTCAGTTTTTCTACCTTTTTACAGTCTGTTAGACGATTCTACAGACTTTCTTTCAAAGTATTCCTTTAGACTTTTGCTCCTTTTTCATTCTGTCTAGAGTTTAAAGATCTGCGTTTCCATTACAAATGTGCGCAAAACTTTGTCAATATTCTGCCAATGTCAAGATTTAATAAGGACATTTTAAGGCCCTAATGTTACATTAGTGAATAAAACTTTTCAAACCACCCTGTTTAGCCTTTTTTACTCCCCCAACACACTTTATCCTTCCACTCAACTTTCCATGAATGTTTGGACGTCTATGACCACCCAGATTCTTCAGCTTCAGTTTTTTAACCTGCTGCTCACAGTAACTAGTTACATTTTGTCAATTACATTTAGTTGAGTAACTTTAAAAAAAAGAAAAAGTATTTATACTACGTTGCACTTTTCACTTTTACTTGAGTAATTTCACTTTGAGGTATTTCTACTCTGAGTAAATTTCTGGATTTCCTACCCACTGAATGAAAAACAATGTTTTAACCAAAACGTCACCAGACACAGACACACAACAGCAGCTTATAATAAAGTTTCATAAGTTTTTTATTTAATAAAACTGATTTGGAAAAAAACGTTTTATTTTTGTTTCATATTCAAATTATTGTCATTTTCAGTTTCAAAATGTCAAAATTTCCAGTTAACTTTATATTTTGGTCTGTCTGATGATGTAATTTTTAAATATTAAATGATTGATGATCTGATCAGTTACTCAGTACTAGAGTAGACTTTTTAATAAATGCTTTTTCACTCTAACTTCAGTAACATTTTCTGGTTTCAGTGAAGGTCTGTACGCTTTAATCCTAACATAATCTCAAGTTTAACATTCAAATCTACTGAGAAATTAACATTTCAGTTTTCTTTAAATCCGTTCCTCCTGAGAGAAGATTTCCTTTCTCACAGGTCCGAACTAAAACAATCTGCCTCACCTGCACTTTCATTCCCATATGGTCGTCTCTCGTCCATGTCTTCCTCCTCTTCCTCCGCCTCTTCTCCTTCCTCCTCCAGGTCTACGATCCCGGCTCTCTGTCTCCCTCGCTCCACCTCTGAGGCGCTGCGCTCCCGGTTGCCGTTCTGCCCGACGCCCTGTTGGCTGGTGGCGTCCGGACTGTAGATGGACGGGTAGCTCTGGGAATACAGTCTGTTGTTGGGGCTGACTCCGCCCACTACGCCATCGCCTGTGAAGCTCTGCAGAGATTCAAACATGTTTTAAACAGGAACTTTGAATAAAAATGAGGAACATCTTCCTACTGACTAGGGATGCAAGTTAGAGGGACAAGTATCTTTCCTTAACACAAATAATAAACTTTCACATTCGATTTTGTCAGCTGTATTAAATACTGACTGAATTAAGATAATTTTGGTTTTCTCGCATGTTATACAGACATATTGATACAATATAGCGAGACAGCAGCCTATCAAGTGGCTGAATCGAAAAATAAAAGACAAAAAGATTAAATACTAGATCCACAAAATGAAGAGACTGATGTAACCCATGTTAAAATATGACATAAATAGTAATAAATAGTTGATTGGAAGTCTGTAAACAGAAAATTGTGTCGCTGCCGCTTTAAGAGACCAGCGTCACAGCTGCAGCGTCAGAGTGACGCTGCAGCTCACAGGCCGGAGAGAGAGAGAGAGCGCAGAGGAGGAATCGGAGTAGAGTGATGATTAATGAACAGCGAAAGTTAATTTAATTAAGAAAGATAATCTACGTGATCGGGAACTGACAAGAATTTTATTGAGAATATTGGTTTTGGTGAGTTTTATGTTTATTTTTTTTGTACTTTCACCGTATTGTACTGTAAAAAATGTAGCCGTTACAATAGCCGTTAAGAAGAAATGTTCCGTTATAAACTGTTATTTGGTTAACATATTGAGTAAAGAAGAATGTATTTGTATAATTTGAAGATTTAAAAAGAGTTTTATTGTGTTTGCGACCTGTTATGCAGGTCAGGTCTTTTTGCTTGGTTAGAAGCTCGGACGGAGCCAGGATTTATCTGCCTTGTGCGGCGCGCACATTCACGGATCGGATTCAGGATGGCGAGCCAGACCCACAGCGTCAATTCACCTTCTCCATCACATTAAGGAGGGATTCTCCTGCGTGCGGTAATTCGCTGCCAGGGCGAACTGGATTGAACTGAACTGATAATTTATTGAATTATGGATTATTGAGTCAACTAAGACTTTTCATTGAACTGAAGAACTGATTACATATTTGGATATACTTAGATTTTTATATATTATATATTTGAATGTGTTTTGAATAATTGTATTTAATTTTGGTGAAGAGTGATATATTCTTTATTTTCTTTTTTTTTGTTTCATTTACCTTCTTATTGAGAATCTGTAGAGTTTTCTTTGTTTATGTGTTGCATCTTATTTTTGTGTTTTACATTTAGTAAATTATTAGTTTATTACACTTAAGCAGCGGTCTCTGATGCTGTTATTCTTGCTCCCCACTCCTTAGAGCCTAGAACTGGTCCAGTGGCGCGGTTAGCAGTGGGATACCAGTGCTACAAACTTGGTGAGCCAGCCAGGAGTGGCTTAAAGCACTTTAACTAGAAACCAGAGACCATATAATATTATCAGTGTTAAAAAAAAACATGGATATCGTTCAAACAAGTAATGTAAATTTCCCTAACTCTGTCATAGTTAGCGGCATGACCAATACAGAAACTGATGACGAACTAAGCGACTTCTTGGGACAATATGGTTCCATTCAAAGAGTAATCCCAGTGGATCTCACTGAACCAGATTCAGCCAAATAGGTTATCGTAGAGTATGTGTATGGTACAGCTATGCAATCTCTCTTACCTTCATTGCCATACAGGCTTAACAGTAAGACTAAGACTGATGTCACCTACCACATCAGAGCCCTAGCTAATGTTTACACACCCGTAGCTAGCAAGACAGCTACACAGACTTACCTTTCACAGTTAAAAGACATTGCAAAACAGACTGGTAAAGGCTTTGCAGTTGTCCTCAGAGAAGAGCTCTCCCTCATCGGTGAGACTGTCGAACTAGATCACTCAGAGTCCCAAGATGAAGATGCAGAGCAGAACAACATGCCCCTGAAAATGCTGTACAGGTAACCCCCCTGCCCAGTATGGTCTTGCAGCAGCGTGTTCAACATCATTGGTTTCCACCATCGACACCATCTCAAGAAAAGACACAGCCTGCTCTGAAACTTTCTGATGTCAATCCACCTGACATACAAAAAGTAATCGTTGAGCACATAATAAGAAATGAAGACTCTGCTCTGCAGGTGCACACTTCCTTGAGACTCAGACCCTTCTCTGGGCGTGTCCCACGTCTCAACAGTGAAGTGGATTATGAGACATGGCGCTCCAATGTGGAACTTCTTCTTAAAGATACAACACAGTCTGATCTTTACAAGTCACGAAAGCTTCTCGAAAGTCTCTTATCACCCGCCATTGATATTGTGAGGCACCTGACACCTGATTCTCCTCTTGATGCATACTTGGAGATCTTGGACTCTGCTTTCGGCACAGTCGAGGATGGAGATGACCTCTTTGCAAAGTATCTCAACACAATGCAGAATAATGGTGAAAAACCTTCAGCTTATCTACAACGGCTGCAGGTGATGCTGAGCACCACCCTCAGAAGGGGAGGTGTAACTGCAAATGACCTTAACCGGCACCTTCTCAGACAGTTTGTCAGAGGCTGCTGGGATGACATCTTGATAGCTGAACTCCAGCTAGAACAAAAGAAGCAGAATCCACCTACCTTTGCTGAACTTCTCCTGTTACTCCGCACAGCAGAAGATAAACGTTCTTCCAAAGCTTCACGCATGAAACAGCACTTCAGTGCTTCAAAGCCAAAAGTGTCTTCTCATTATCAAGGTGTTTATGTGCAGGGTGAAGAAGACTGCGGCTCATCTCAGCCAGCTCCTGATCACAGGTCTGAAAAGAAACAGCTGATTTGCAGTCCCAGAGAAAGACAGTAGAAAAGCTAAATCAGCTGCCAGACCACTAGCTACCCAAACAGCTAACACACATTCCCCAGCTATCACTTATACATCTCAAAGGCTGCAGCCCCACAGCCAAAATGCAAACAACACCACAAGCAATAGACCAAGGCCCTGGTATTGCTGTAGATGTGGAGAGGATGGGCACATTAAGCCCCAGTGTGAGAGTGAGCCGAACCCATCTCTTGTGGTTGAGAAGAGCAAGCAGCTAAAAGAAAAGCAGTTAGCATGGGACAGTCAACATGGCACTTCAAAGCCTGATCCTTTAAACTAGACCCAGTTCCGGTTGTGGGACAAATAGGGACTGGAACACAGGCAAAGTGTCCCAAAAAGAAGCTGCACAGAGCCCATCTGTACTCTCACACACAAAGACAGTCAGTGACCTTGCCAAAAGGTCTGATTGGAGCCAAATGCACCGCACAAGTGACCATAGCTGACAAAGACTGTAGTTGCTTGTTGTATTCAGGCTCCCAAGTAACAACAATCCCCAACTCTTTCTATCTAGAAAACCTGTCTCACTTGCCTCTCAATTCCTTGAACGACCTGCTTGAAGTGGAAGGAGCCAATGGTCAAAGCATCCCTTACCTTGGCTATGTTGAGGCCACCATCAGGTTCCCAAAGAGCTTGCTTGGAGTCGACATCGAGGTACCTACGCTGGTATTAGTTGTACCTGACATGCGCTCCACATTGTCATCAGTGCTTATAGGCACAAATACTTTAGATGTCTTATATGAAAAGTATGAGGAGATTTCACCTCAGAACTTTGAATCTCTTCCTTATGGCTACAGAGTTGTCTTAAAGACTCTTGAAATCCGGAAAAGACAGTCTGTTGATTCCAGCCTGGGAGAGGTGAGGCTTCATAGTAGAAACCTCGAGACCATTTCAGCTGGACAGACCAAAGTAATTCAGGGATCAGTGAGCTGCAGAACATCTGATGTTGAAAGGTGGGTGATAGTAGAGTCACCAAAATTATTGCCCCTGCCTGGTGGCATCCTGGTGACAGATAGCCTAGTAAGTCTATCACCAAAGCTATCACGTTGCATACCAGTCATGCTCAAAAACGAGTCACAGCATGACATCACCCTATGCCCAAAAGCTGTGATAGCAGAGATACACGCTATCAAGAGTGTTCAACCTGTCAAGACTCATAACTCAGACTCCCCAACAAAACCTGATCAAAAACCAAACCTCGACTTTGACTTTACTGATTCTCCTGTACCCAACGAGTGGAAAGAGAGAAAAAGAGAAATTGAGTTCCATGCCAGAGGTGTTTGCAGTGCACGAGCTTGACTTTGGGCGCACTGACAAAATCAAACATCATATAACTCTCAGTGATGAGACACCGTTCAAACATAAGCCAAGACCTATACATCCGCAGGATATAGAGGCTGTGCGTACCCATCTCCAGCAACTCCTCGATGCAGAAGTCATCCGTGAATCGGAGTCACCTTTCTCCTCGCCGATTGTAGTCGTCAGGAAAAAGAACGGCGATGTCAGACTTTGCATAGATTACAGAAAATTGAACACACAAACAGTAAAGGATTCATATGCCTTACCTAATCTGGAAGAATCCTTCTCAGCATTGACCGGGTCCAGGTGGTTCTCAGTGCTCGATCTGAAATCAGGCTTCTATCAAATAGAGATGGAGGAAGCAGACAAACACAAAACCGCATTTGTCTGTCCTCTAGGATTCTTCGAATTCAACAGGATGCCTCAGGGGATAACCAACCCCTAGCACGTTCCAGAGACTTATGGAGCGCTGTATGGGAGAGTTAAATTTGAAGGAAGCCCTAGTCTTCCTGGATGACCTCATTATCTTCTCCTCTACATTAGAGGAGCACGAAGAAAGGTTGATGCGCGTGCTCAACCGATTGAAAGAGTTTGGCTTGAAACTGTCACCAGAGAAATGCAAGTTCTACCAAACTTCTGTAAAGTACCTCGGCCACATTGTGTCTGAAAAGGGCGTCGAGACCGACCCTGATAAAATAGCAGCATTAAAAACCTGGCCAAAACCAAACAACTTGAAAGAGCTAAGAACCTTCCTGGGTTTCTGCGGTTACTACCGCCGGTTCATTAAAGACTACTCAAAGATCGTGAAGCCACTCAACGACCTCACTGCTGGCTATCCACCGCTAAGGAAGCATTCTAAAACCACAGTGAATCCTGAGAAGTATTTCAATCCAAAGGACATCTTTGGTGACAGATGGACACCTGCTTGCCAAGCAGCGTTCGACACCATAATCGAAAAGCTGACAACCGCACCAATCCTTGGGTTTGCTGACCCCAAGCTCTCCTACATTTTACATACAGATGCAAGCACTTTGGGCCTCGGTGCTCTCTACCAGGAGCAACAAGGACAGCAGCGTGTCATTGCTTATGCGAGCCAAGGTCTGTCGAAGTGTGAGTCCAGGTATCCTGCACATAAGCTAGAATTTCTTGCCCTTAAGTGGGCAGTAACAGAGAAATTCCAGGATTACCTGTACGGAAACACATTCCTTGCTGTCACAGATAGCAATCCATTAACATACATTCTTACCTCAGCTAAGCTCGATGCCACGAGCTACAGATGGTTGGCCGCTCTGTCGACATTCGATTTCCAGCTACAGTACAGAGCTGGTAAGCAGAGTCAAGACGCGGACGGACTGTCCAGACGTCCTCATGGCAGAGTACCTGATGACACATCATCACAAAAAGAGTTGGAGAGAATACAACAATTCACAAAAAGACACCTGTCAGATGCTGATTATGCACATCTGAATGAAAGCACCATCAAAGCCATCTGTGAGAAGCACTTGGTCCATGAAGTAATCAACAGTCACCCTGGGGAAACATCACCCAGCACCATCTTGGTTATGTCACTTGCCCACCATCCAAAGGCTCTCCCTCAAAGCTTTGAAGAGGAGGATCAGCTTGGTGGCCTACCTGTCATTCTCCCGTTAGCACCAGCTGAACTAAGAGACAAACAAAAGGCTGATCCCTGCATTGCTGAAGTCCTAAGGCAGGTGGAGTCCGGAGAAAAACCCCCACCCTCCTTGAGGAAAGAACTTCCTGAGCTTGGTCTCTTATTGAGGGAGTGGAATAAACTGGAAGTCTCAAATGGTGTTTTGTATCGCAGGCGACAAGAGGGTGCTCAGACTACCAGCTTGTACTCCCTGAAGCCCTGAGATCTATAGTTCTCAAGAGCCTCCACGACGACATGGGCCATATGGGTACAGAACGCACGCTAGATCTTGTCCGGAAGCGATTCTATTGGCCCAAAATGTCGACCGAGGTGGAAAATAAAGTCAGAACCTGCAACCGTTGCATACGATGTAAGACCATGCCCGAGAAAGCTGCACCACTCATCAACATTGTGGCCACAAGACCACTTGAACTCGTGTGCATGGATTTTCTCAGTGTAGAGCCAGACTCAAGAAACACAAAAGACATCCTGGTCATTACCGACCATTTTACGAAATATGCAGTGGCAGTCCCCACCCCGAATCAGAAAGCCAGGACGGTGGCCAAGACCCTGTGGGACCACTTTTTCGTCCATTATGGCATTCCTGAAAGACTCCACAGTGACCAAGGTCCCGACTTTGAATCCCGAACAATAAAAGAACTGTGTGAGCTCATTGGCACTCAAAAGATAAGAACCACACCTTACCATCCGAGAGGGAACCCTGTTGAACGCTTCAACAGGACCCTGCTCAACATGTTGGGAACCCTTGAAAACCAGAAGAAGAGTCACTGGCGAGAGTATGTCAAGCCGTTAGTACACGCTTATAACTGTACTAAGAACGAGACAACCGGCTTTACTCCTTATGAGTTAATGTTTGGGCGTCAGCCAAGATTGCCAGTTGACCTAGCCTTTGGCCTACCAGTCAATCATCAGCCAGGCTCTCACTCGCAATATGTCCGCAACCTGAAATCTCAACTTGAAGACAGTTACAGAGTGGCAACTGAGAATGCTAAAAAGACAGCCAATCGCGACAAGGAAAGGTTTGACAAGCATGTTGTTGACTCCAGCTTGAAAGAAGGCGACAGAGTCTTGGTTCGAAATGTTCGTCTCAGAGGCAAACACAAGTTAGCTGACAAGTGGGAGTCCGACGTGTATGTTGTCCTGAGACAGTCCGGAGACGTCCCAGTGTATGTTGTGAAACCCGAGACAAGAGATGGTCCACATCTCTGCCATGATCTCCTTCATGGCAGAAGGAGATCATCGTGATCTCCTTCTGCCATGTGGTTTCCTTCCTGTGATTCCTGTCGAAAGAGAAACTAACCCGCCAAAGGCAGTAAGGGGCCCAAGAACTCGACAACATTCTGAAAATGACACATCAAATGGAGCTGAAGGGGATGAATCCCAGTCTGATTCTGAGGAATATCACTATCACAAAAACCTAAGAGTGGAAACGCTGGGTTTCAACCCAACTTTCAAACCTATGGAATACTTACCTGAAAGGATTGAACCCGAACCTGACTTGATTGCTGTTGAGCAAGATCCTTCAGACGTAGCCAAAGCTTTCCCAGAGGATGCTCCAGTAGAAACTTATGACCTAAACTTAGACCTTAGAGCCTAGAACTGGTCCAGTGGCGCGGTTAGCAGTGGGATACCAGTGTTACACTACATTTTCATAATATGCTGATTTAAAGCAGCTGTATTAACCCTTTCATGTATAGTGGTCACTACAGCAGACATCTATAAGCCATTTTCTTGCAGATTTTTATTTTATAAATGCACACAGACCACTGAAGTGGACACTAACGCATCATAAAATACTGAATATCAACTGCTGGCCATCAGCTGCAAATGCAAGAAATTATTTTTGTTAAATCCAATATGGCCGACACACAAAAAGCCGACCCGGTCGCTCCTTCTACTGTAGACGACTCTTACAGGTACAAAAAACATTGTGACATCAGATAAACCCTAAAGTATAATACTACTTTTGTTTTTTTCAGATAACTTTGTATTTGGAGAAAATTACAATTGATCACCTAAAAAAATGAAATACTTTTTTTTTTGTTTATAAATGTTTTTCCTACCATTTTTATGCCATTATGGACACAAAGAATCATTAATTCATGATTGAAAGGGTTAAAAACTGACTGAATAAGCAGAACAATTTTATTTTCGTACATTAATACACTTAGACATATTTATAAAATCAAACAGGAACATTTTAAGTGGCTGAATAAAAAAATAAAAGGTCAAAAGAATCAAAGATGGAGCCCGTCTATGGTTGTTCTACATAGGAATGTTTTTGTTTCGCTCCACTAAGCGCTTTCACTCACCAAAAATTAATCTTGTATATTGGCGCCATGTTTTGTTTTTTTTACCCCCATCATCTTACCATTTTTCTGCCTTATCCCCTGTAGCCACGGCAACAAATCTTTGTTGCTCATCTTGAGAGAAATAAATACATTATGGACCTTTTGAAAGAATAATTAGTTACAGAGGGGCAGCAGATTAGCAAAGCGTCGCATAAAAGACATTCTTCATCCCCAACCACTCCATTTGGACCGGCAACTAATATTGCCGCCATCTTTGTTTATGTATGGACAGACTATTTGCTTAAAGAAAACCAGCACCGCCCTCTGCTGGATGGTGGGCAAACTACAACACTAAAAGATGTTAATCGACTGGAACTCATTTTAAACTAATAAACCATTAACCAATATTAACTTATCAGTCGATTATTTACTTGCACCCCTACTACTTACCCCTCTGTATCCGGTGTCAGAGGTCAAATCAACCAGCAGCTTGCTTCCTTGCTCTCCTGCGCTTTGCCGCGTGTGCTTCTGGGCCGTCAGCATGGACGTGGCGTGCAGCACGCCGATGTCGTCCACGTAGCGGCGCGCCGACTCAGCCAGGAAGCCCTGACCCCACACGCTGTAGGAGAACTCGCATTCCTTCGGAAAGCCGGCGCCGCTTTCCCGCTTCTTCCCGGCTTCACTTTCACTGGCTGTCAACCGGAACTTCTTGCAGGCCGTGAGGATGGCCAGGTCGCAGCCGGACTTTTGGCAATAGGCTTCCGCAGCGGAGAGTAGAGCCAACCAGCTCTCTTTGTGGTTGTCTGGGATCTCCGGTTCAGAGGAGTGGGTTACAGAGGCCATAATGGTGATTTTAGAGAATGGCCTGGCAAAATAACTGACTAACACTGAAAAACAACTTTAGATTTTAAACTAATTAGAAATGATCTGAGGTGCAAACAGAATGAAATACTGACTTTGGTTGCTGTCTGATTTTGCTGAAAGCTTCTTTGCTGGTGTTTCTGCTTGGTTGAAGATAAAATGTGAACTAATCAGGTATGGAGGCACACGGTGACTTAAAGATATGGTAGCTGGGAGGTGGTGAGAGCCAAGGGAGAGATGGAGATTACGCCTGGAGAAAAGAGAGAGAGAAAATATTCACCCATTCATTTTGGAATTATTATCATTTATTTAAACTCTGGCTAAAACGATTAATCAAATTAATTCTGATTTAGCAATTTTTCAAATAATTGGCAAATAATTTAGCAAACAATTAGTCATTAACTGGAGTTTACAGGCAATTTTCTGAAAGAACAACATAGAGTAGTTAAATCAGAACTGTACAAAAATAATCTGAATTTTGCATTTAAGATTAAATAAAAAAATAACATTTTAGGCAATGTCCAACACAAAACTCAAGTGGCATTATTCAAGCTTCATCCAGTTCAAATTGTGTGAAAAAAAAATCTATTGATTGTCTTTTTCTATCACATTATTAATGCCTTAATTAAAAATAATAATTCAACAGATCAGCCCTCCGATGTAGTAATTTGTCTAGCAGAAAGGATTGAGCAAACCAGGCAAGTTAGGAGGATTCTCTTTTAATTGTAGATTCGTTCTTTGCTTTAGTAATTGATTATTCTGACAATTAATTGACACGTTCTTCATAAAACTACATAAGTATTTTATACAATATTTGAAATATATTAAACTTTGTAAATAGAGAAATTATTAAATTCCTTCTTTAATAAGAAAATACATATTTTATACCCTAAAATGTAATTTAAAAAAGCACTTCTCTAGCAAATTTGAAGAAGTGAAGCTAAAACAATACCATTTGAGGAGTTTGGGCTAAATCATATTTTTACATGAAATACATGATGTATATATTTTGCACAGCTTTGCCTTACTTACTGCTGTGAATTTTTTTTCCCAATATAAGGTCCTTTCTTGCATCTCCAATTAATTGATTAGTAAATCAGTTGCCGATTACTCGATTAATCTCGAATAATAAGCGCAAATCCAAGAAGAAGACAAATCACGTCAACAATAGTGGTATAATATTCAGCCACATTAAAGTCCTGAGCTAGTTTTAGCTTTTTGATCGTTTAAGTTGTGATCTGGAAACCGTTAAGTGTTTGCTTCTCTGTTGTGTAAGCTACAACTATGGATCGGAACTCAGATATGTACAGTTGAATCTGCAGAAACCAGAGTGTTGTAACTGCTGCAGCGTCCTCCACCTTCCCTTAGCAATGCTAACTGTAGCTGCTGCTAGCAGAGCCTCCGCTCCGTGTGAGTCCTTTCCGCGGACAGCCCTAACTCCGGTAAAGCTGCACGCTTTGCGCTGATCATTGCGGCTGCGACCGCTGCTGCAGCAGCTGTTGTTGTTTATCTTGTTATTCGGTCCAATGTTGTGTGCAGCCAGCCTCCTGCTGCTGATGAATCCGCATCTCTCCTCCTTTTTCAGGCTTTAAAAGCAGACCCGACTCGGCAGCAATGAAGTGGAAAGTAAGAGGAACATGTCCACTTACCTGTTCAGTCTCTTTCTTCGCCGCTGCCAGGTGTTAACCGAGTTTAATAAATGCTTTTACCCCACGCTTTCTACCCTTCTCCCACGGTTTCTCTCCCTCAGCTAGCCTCGACACCAGCGGAGGAAAGCTAGGAGCAGGTGATGCTACAATATATCCGGTTATCAATTTCAAAATAAAAGCATATATGATGATGATGATAATCATAATAATAATAATAATAATAATAATAATAATAATAATGGAAAATGTTATTTATTTATCTAATATTCTCATTTTATTTGGAAATAAGATTTTTAAAAAATGATTTTCAATGTCTTATAAACAGTCATTTCAAGCTTAGTCTCTTAAATTGTTTCTATTCAGTTTAATTCAGGAGTTCCAATTTCATGAGACGGATTCGCCCAATTTTCAGATTAACTTAAACAAACAAGCACATAGTCGAGAAAGTAAATTTAAATAAAAAAAAGAGAGATGTCTCTCTATTACGAGGTTTAATTGCACACAGTGATAAATTCAATTTGTTTATTTCTTTTAGTTGCGACAACTCTGGCTTGCAGAAAATTAATTAGATAACAACAACAACAATAATAATAATAAAATACAACGAAGGAATAATACGTAATTTTTTCCTGTCCAAAACGATATTAACTCAACCTATATCAAAATTAAATTGTAACATCAGAAGAACTTCCTGTCTTTTCCTGGTTTGTTTCTGACTTGACGCATCTCTGACGTTACCTGTTTACCGACGTGATGTGTTTGTGAACGAGCACGTTTTCTCTATTTGCTTGTGCACGAGGAGCAGCCTCTTTTCGCTTATGGTTAAAATACAACACAGACCTTCACGCTGCAGACACATAGCAACAAATATGGCCAGATCGCGCAATATATTTTAATACAATAATATACTAAACTAAAAATATAAAATAATTTCAAACAATGACATAAATGTTCCGTGATCATAATAAAAATAAATGTGCATATCAATGTCAACAGTAATTCAAAGTGTAATCAAACTACATATGTATTAAGGTGAGATTAAATTTCATAATGAGGTTGAAAGATATGAAGAAATATAATTTAAAAATTAGTTTTTCCGCCAGTATAACTTATAATTGTATTTAGTTTATTTATACTCATATTTTTTCATTTTAATTTTCTTGATTATAATAGAGGTAACAGATAAACCTTAATAATATTAATAATAATTTTAAAAAATAATAAAAGGTTTGCTGCCATCTGGTGGCAGAATTTAAACAAAGTTATAACTTGATATATTCTGTTGAAATATTGATATTAAAACCTTACAATCTCTTACTGGTTGTGTATTATAACGTTGTGGGCTCATTAAACAAGCGAGCTTGGCTCTTGCGTCACATGACCGCCTCTCGGTGGGCGGGACGTTTCGTAAACAGGAAGTGTGACGTCACGTTTGTTTTGGAAGAGGCGAAGCAGCGACTCAGGCGACGAGAAAATGGGGGAAAACGTGGAAGATTACAAGGTATTTTTTTCGTTTTTCTTGAATATTTTACTTTTATAGTTTCTCTAACGAATTTGTCTTGCTAACACAAAGCTACTGTTGAGGTGTAAGGTTAGCACACCAGCTCGGTGACGTTGAAACAGGAATCCAGTTCACTTTCCGCTTCATCTTTGACAATGGGCTTTAAATAAAAAATGGAAACCTGTCCCGTTGATCCACCATTTGATGTGATTCATCTTCTTGGTGGTGAAGCGTGCGTGGAGAAAACTGGGTGAAAACTGGTGAAGTCTAAGCAAGTTTTTCTTGAACGTGTTGGGATTTTGATCTGACAGATGAGTCACTGTAATCATGTGACATACCTTTCCCATTCCTATATGTCAAACTCCAGTCCTGGAGGGCCACTGCCCTGCAACTTTTAGATGTGTCCCTGCTGCACCACACCTGAATAGAATAATTAGGTAATTATCAAGGCTCTGGAGAACTTATCTACACAAGAAGGAGGCAATTAAGCCATTTCATTCCACTGTTTTGTACCTGTGGTACATCTAAAAACTGCAGGACTGTGGCCCCTGAGGACTGGAGTTTGACATGCTAAGATGTTGAAAGTTAAAGTTATTTAATCATGTAAAAATGTACTGTAAAGACTGAGTATGATTTTAAAAAATTACCCACATTCTCTGTAATGTATCCAACAAACACGCAAACAACTTCATAAAAAAATTAATAAAAAAATAAAAAAAAAAATAAAAAAGGCAGTTATCTTAACCTTAAAATGATTAATTTGTATCACATTTCTATATATTGAACTGGTTTTTCTAGTGAAGTATCTTAGGGTGACATTAGTGCTAATTGGCAGTAAATATGAACTATAAATGCCACCCAGTTAAATTTTATTCATCAGGCTTCTTGTATCAGCTTTGCTTGGCAAAATTTCCCTGCAAATTTTAAAGTGCTCCAAATTCACATTAAAATCCTAGGTATATTGGGTATTTTTACACTTTTTTGTATTGTAATCCAAAAGGACTACAACTAATGGATACAACCACAAAACAAAAAATCCAGCATAAACACATGATTAACTCAAAGGTGCTTTAAGATTCCATTGATTTACTTGGTTTTTTAATCTTTTTTGGCTCAAAAGCATATTTATATAGTATGATTCACTATGACAAACAAAAGGGCTTAGTGTCACTTCAAGGCAAAGAAAGTGGCTGATGAAAGAATACAGGATGTTGAAATACAGATAAGGTGTAAAATGAACACATTTTGTCAAAAGTTCAGTTATGGTGCATTAAAGATGGAAAAAAAATTTTAATTAATGATAATTATCAACCATAATGTGTTGGTGGGCTTTAGAAAAAGGAAGATGAAGCCATGGAGCCGTAATTATTATCTGTGATTAGTTCATTGTTTCCCAGAAGTGTCACTTGTTGGAATAATCAGGTTATTTCTCCGTTTTGGTCAAAAACACAAAGGTCATATTAGACTTTGTTTAATTTCATGCGTTTTCACTATATCAGACAGTTTAAAACCAATTTATTTGGACACTTTTGTCCAGTCAGTGTCAGCGTTGGCTCACTGTCGAAGTTCAACCGAGGATTTCTTTTCTTCTCAGCTGATATTTGAGAAAGAGGGCGTATACCTCCACACAAACGCCAAGAGGAGCAACCAGGAAACCAGCATACCGGGATTTATTCGCATTGTGGAACGGGTAGGCAGATCTGCTGAGAGAAAAACAAGAATCCAGAAAATTGCAGGATGAACTAATGTTTTTATGTTCTGCAGGCCGGACAGCCTGCTTTAGAGTGGAGCCCCCTAGAGGATGAGGGTCGCAATGCGCCTGCCGTCCTCTACAGCAAAAAGGTCAACAGAATACCTGCGAAAAATCTCAGAAATGTTTGTATTTGTTCTAATTCTCGTTGATTTGTCTGTTTCTAATCAGGATGGTGAGGAGGACACGAACTTTGACCCTGGGTATGAGCCTGACTGGGCAGTGATCAGCACTGTGAAGAAAGATCGCGAGCACGCCCCCGTCAAAGACTCAGGTTTTACTTCCTGTTTCCTGCAGTTATCGCTATGGATGTGAGCTATAGATTAATACATTAATCTAAATCTGATTGGTGTTATTGATCAAACAATGATTAATTGATAAGCAGCCATTTTCTTAATAACTTGGGTTTTTAAGATCCTTCAAGGTTTGCAGCAAGACGCTGCATATCTTCTATAAGTCTGTTTAGAGTGCCATCTCTTCTGCCGTCATCAGTTGGGGCAGCAGACTCAGAGGCAGAGACTTGAAAAGGCTCAGCAGCCTGATGAAGAAGCCTGGTTTTGTTCTGTTCTGGTTCTGTTCTGTGCACGACTGTGGAACCTCTGGAGATGATGATGCCAAGAAGGATTCTTCATAGGATCAAGAAAATTATGGACAACCCTGACTATCCCCTTCATGGGACTGTCTTAGGAAGGCAGAGTATCTTCAGTCAGAGAGTTCTTCAGATTCAGACTGTTGCAGAAGATGTTTCCTGCTGATGGCATTATGATCTTCAATAACTCCTTAAAGAATCTAAATGAATGAGTTACGAAAACATTTAAATTTCCTTTAGGATTAATGAAGTGTTTCTGAATTTCAATTTTGTCCCACAGGTCAGTGGGCGTTTTCCCTGCCTCTGTCGGAGCTCTACTCCCTCCGGAGGGCCCGCTTCTCTTTGGGTCGGAACTTCATGGTGCTGACCAGCAGAGGAGGACACCCGCTTCCCCCTCTGCACTTCCACAGAGGCGGAACCAGGGAACTTCTGCGGGCTCTCCACCGTTACATTGTCCTGGACCAGTGAGTGTGGCCAGCACAGTTAAAAATATCACGGGCTCTGTGATTATCAGAGCTGTCAAATGTCCGCTTTCATGGGAGATGGAAAGAAAAGGAGCACATTTACACAGAATAAATGTCTGAGAAAAAAACACTTGGAAATTTGTGAGTTTTGAAAGACGAAAATGTTACCTTTCTTACTTTACCGCTTTTGAATGTGACCGAACATTTTCGCTTTTTGATGCTGTTTTTCTGGAAAACTTCTGAGATTAAATTCAGTATTTCTTTAAAAAAGTTTCACAAATTTTTTACTTTTCAAGCAAGAAAATTTCCTTCTTTGGAAAATTTCTTAGCTTCATTTCAAGATTCCTGAGTTCTTCCAGCAATTTAAAAAAAATATTTTAGTCAGAAATTTTCAACTTTTTTAAACCAGAAATTTCCATCCTTTTCAATATAATTTTATCTAAAAATTGATAAATTTTTTTCTAGCAAATTTTTGACTTTTCAAACTTAGAAATTTCAGTTTTTCTCTAGAAGTTTTCTGAGATGTATATAAAAACTATTTTTGGTGGAAGTTTACTCTTTCTTTATTTTTAATCCTCAATATGCCGTCATACTTTTTTGCTCCGCCTGTTATCATCACGCAGAGTTCTGGGTCAAGCTTCTCCTCATAGATCGCCAGTAGGATGTTGATTTTATTTCCTCTTCCTGTTTGTTTGGAGATGTTTTGCATCGTTGTGTTGTCGGTTTATATCGCTGATTAAATTTGACCATAATCAGACTTCTGCATGATCAAAAGAAGAACAGTGATGTCACACTGCAGCGCTGTTTTTTTTCTGAAACCTCTCTAAATATAGGAAGTCACTTGAGTTGGCAACAGCAGGGCGATTATTGATAACTGTAAACGTCAGTCAAACCTTTCTCGCAGGAGAAAGGTTTGAGCAAAAGAGGTTGATTTTGCTCCCCTGTGGTTAATTTTTAGACTTCTGTTGGTGTAGATAAGCTAAGCTTCACATGTAAATCACCCATCTTCCAAAGTTCAGGACTTTGGGGTTGATAAATCAGTTCAGAGCAGTAGTCGTACTTTCTGCCACAGCGATTTGTAATACAGATGGTTTATGTTTCATCATCAGGTCACCTGTTGACGGACGCCTCTTCCTCGCCTACCCACGCGACTCGTCTTCAGCTGATTTTGGTCCATCTTTTGACAAACTGCACATCCTGGATGATGGCTCCGATATCGTCACGGTACTTTCAGGATCATCTCTCGATGTCTTGAGTCTGCCAAACGTTTTGAATTTTTCAGTAATGTTTTGTTTCTCCAACTGGAGCAGAGGTTCATCCATGACCCGTACGCCACCACGTTTGGGGGATTCTCCAAGGTGACCAACTTCTTCCGCGCTGCCCTCCGGCCACCAGAGGCCGCTGTGACGCAGAGCGCTCAGGATCCGGGTCGGCCGTCACAGTCTGATGATGAGCCCGGGTTTGAGCTCATCACCTGTGTAAGAAAAAGACGCAAAAGCAACACGGCACACTGCAAAAAGACAAAATCTTACCAAGTAATTTTGGTCTAGCTTCTAGTGCAAATATCTGGGGGCAGTTGAAATAAATAAATTAGTAACTTTTCAGCAAGATAAAGGAGCTTGATGTTGGTCAATAATTTCCTAAACATAATTTTTAAAAAAAGTTATAGTTGCACTACTATATTATTTCATAAAATAATAAGTAAAATAAACTGCTAATTTTAAGAAAATTATTTTTTTAAAGGAAAATTAATTTCCTTAAAATTGCTACTGACTTTATTCTCGTGATTTTTTTTTTTTACTTTACTCTGGTATTATTATGATTTTTTTTCCTCAAATTTTCCTAAGTTTTTCTCAACATATTCAACGTGAGCCGGATTTAGACTGTTGTGAGACAGGTTAGTTTTACCCTCCTGATAATGTGTTGTTGCAATAGAAGTCCTGCTATTTTATTATTGCCACAAAATAATAGTTTATTGTTAGCATACTATACTTTATTAGCATATTATTTTGACTTCATTCTTAAAGTTCTATGCCTTGTTCTCTTATGATGTTCTCATAATTTTATGACTTTATTCTATTAGTATACTAAGTGTACTAAGATATTTGCATAAAAATACTTGGTAGATTCTGTGTTTTTGCGGCAAAGAGTCGGAGAAGTGAACAGGTGTGAGCTGCTGGTGTTTGTGGCTGCTCTTCCCCTTGCAGGGCGTGGAGCTCGGTCCCAGGCCAGAAGTTACTCGAGGACGAGCTCTGGACCAGTGGGAGGAGTTCCTGGACTCTGAAGGCCGCGTGAACGACCCAGAGAAAATCAAAGACCTGGTGTTCAGAGGGGTACGACAGGACAAAGAGTAAAAATAATGTTCATTTGGAACATTACTGGAGCTAAATATTCCTAAACCTTGCAGGGCATCACTCCAAACCTCAGGAAAGAAGTGTGGAAATTCCTCCTTGGTTTTTATCCGTGGAAGAGCACCTCAAAGGAAAGAGAGGAAATTCTTCGAGTAAAAACGTTAGTGCTCTCAAATAATTATTAATCAATTATTCTGATAAATAATCAAATAAATAAAATTGGGACATTCTGCAGATTTTCACTTAAGCCTTCTTATACAATATTAAAAGACGTACATAAACAATTAAATTTCTTTCTTAAATAAGAAAAAGAACATTTTATTGCTTAAAATGCAATGACATCCTTTAGTGAATAACTGATCATTTGGAGCAAAGGATGCGTCTGCAGATAAACAATGCTTTATTTGCATTTTTGTTTTATTTATATTGCATAAAAAGGCTGGAATGAAATGTATGCAAATGTGGTATTGTTTTATCTGATTATTCAATTAATTATCAAGAATAATGAAACGATTAATTAATTAATGATTAATCTATTATTGAAATAACTGTCAACCAATTTAGCAATAGAAAAATATTCACTCAACCGTTAAAATAACTGTTAGCTACTGTTCTAGGTCTGTCACAATGAATCATTTCAGACTGTTGACGTAGACATCTTTCGTCTCATTTGCAGGGACGAGTACTTCAGGATGAAGGTGCAGTGGAAGTCTGTGAGTGAAGAGCAGGAGATGAGGAACTCCCTTCTCAGAGGCTACAGGAGCCTGATAGGTCGCCAAATAATAAAACATCTCTTTGTTTTGTTGTGTGAGCCCTGCAGCAGATTCCTGACCCTTTGTCCTGCTGTCCTCCACAGAGCGGGACGTCAACAGGACGGACAGGAACAACACGTTCTTCTCCGGCAACGACAACCCGGGCCTGACTCTGCTCCACGACGTTCTGATGACGTACTGCATGTACAACTTTGATCTCGGTGTGTTTTTATGAACTAACGGATTGCATTTTACATTCTGACAGGACAAATTCCTTCATTCTGATCAAAATTGAAGAATTTTTAGTGATGCAATGACTAGGCCATTTCATCCCGTTGATTCTTTACTTTTTCAGTCATTTTGTTGTAGATTTGCTGCTGTGTAATTCCTCCAGGAAATTGCGATGTTGCAACTATTAATCCAACATTGCAACCTTTTTTTCTGACCAATCACTGCAACTGTGCAGAATTTTGTCCAATCCCCTTACACTGCAAAAACATCAAATCTCACAAAGTGTTTCTTAGCTAATTTCTAGTGCAAATATCTTAGTGCACCTGACTTAATTTCCCAGTGGAGCTAGTACTTTTCAAATCAATATTAAGAAATTATTTACTGAAAACAAGCTCTTATATTTTGCTCAAAGTTACTTGTAAGTTAGTTTTGTCTTATTTCAACATGTAAGTAATCCTATTGACAGAATTTAAGCAAACCAAAACATTAATGGATTTGGCCAATGTTTGTCAACATGATAGTGATCCCCATGTGATACTGGTACTGTCATCATGCTGGTCACTGTACAGGCTAGCAGTAGCATGTACAGTGCAAACATTACAGCTAAAGATACTAACAGCCTTTTAGCTAATGTTGGCATTGTTGCGAATTTTCAGCATCGGAATGCCTGATTTGGGTCCAATTGATACACTTTGCCGGGACCCTTTTAAGTTTCTTCAGAAATGTTCTAGTTATTATTGTTATTAATGGTGACACTTTGATCATGATCCAGGTTATGTCCAGGGGATGAGCGACCTCCTCTCTCCGATCCTGTTTGTCACTCAAAACGAGGTGGAGTCCTTCTGGTGCCTGACGGGCTTCATGGACCTGGTGGTAAGTTGAGAACTTTCCCTTTTCTTTTCTCAGTTTCACGACAAAATGCTTTTGATTTGAAATATTCCCTTGGTTTTATTGACATTTTCTACTAATAGGTTCCCATTATGTCTTCCATGCTGTTGTTGAGTTGGTCATGTGTTTGGAAAGTACATTCTTGTATCTTTTTGCTGGTTGTGTTTTTGCAGCACCAGAACTTTGAGGAGTCACAGGAGGCCATGAAGCAGCAGCTTCTTCAGCTCAGCATTCTTCTGAAGGCTCTGGACCCAGAGCTGTGCGACTTCCTGGGTTAGTTCTGCTGCCATTCTGCTGCCATTTTCCCGTCAAACTGGGCAGTCTGGTAGCACAATGAGCCCCGGTCAGTCCCGGGGCATATCCAAATATTTGGGAAAAAGTAGGTTTAAAAAAAAAAGGGAAGAAACCAAACTATTCTATTAAACCGATAGTCTGCAACCTTTACAACCCACAGAACCATTTTTACCTTCAGTTGAGTTAATAAAACTTACCTAGAGCCCAAAATGTTCAGTTAGCTTTTGAAAAAAATCTGACAGAAAACCCTAAAAACTGTGATTTACACATGTTTTCTATGATTGGTTCCATGACAGCAGAGATCACTGATCTTTTCGAAACTTAGAGCCATTCCTTGGGTACCAATTAATGCAAAAGCTAGCAATTGACTACACACATATGGCATAACAAATTTGCTCAATTTACTTTTAATTCTATATTATTACTAATTAATGATATTTATCTATGCAAAAACATAGGTCATGTTAATTATCACAATAAATGTCAACAACGATTGAACAACGGATAAATATCAATATGCAACACTTTATATCAATCTCTGCTAGTATTTACGTTCACAAATGATCAATTTTACAAAATTGCGTGCACCATTTTTGCAAATATGATCAATAATGTAGCATTTCAGATTTTTACTTAAACAATTACTGAACTCAGAAGAATAAAAAAAAACAGACTTGCTCAAAACTGCCTTTGACTTCCGGGTTCGTTTTGCGCTGCTCGGTGGGTAATTAGCATGCTAGCTCGATGTGTGACGTGTTTGAAAATGTCTTTCAATATTGCGATGCTTTGCCGTTGCCACGCAAATGAGACACGCGCAGGAAAATTTCACAGTGATTAAAACATTCCTCCTCGTAGTAACTGTGCAAATTAGATGTTTTTGAGAGAAAATAATCTTACCGTCACTCGGCCTGCTAGCTAGCTTCCGCCAACTGTTGGTGGACGCCAACGGTTAAAAAAAAAATCCATCTAATATTCAATATAAAAAAAATATAGTGAATTTCAAATCTACACCTTGAAAAACAATAGCTAAAAATAAAAAAATATAGTAGTAAGCTGCTGTGCTCTATTTTAGCTACTCAATCAACTACTGCATGAATTAGCTACTCATGGAGTAGTTGATCATTAGATGTTTGTTCAATCATTGATAATTAATAATGATTATAGCATCAATTAGTATAAAAATATGGTTAAATGCAGGGCAGTATTTTATGTTTGCAGTGATATGCAGTTGCCTAAAAGAGACGGAAAAGAAGTTGTAAACATTTTGTTTTAGCAGTATTACAATAAATGCCTCATAGTAAGACTTTAAGAGCATATCAGCTGCTGCAAATATCTATATTTTAGAGAGGTTTTCTTTATTATTTCTTAAAACATTTGATCTTTGAATATCTTATTTTTGTCGCTCAGATTCACAGGACAGCGGCTCGCTTTGTTTCTGTTTCCGCTGGCTGCTCATCTGGTTCAAGAGGGAGTTTTCCTTTGAAGACATCCTCATATTGTGGGAGGTGAGTGTCAGATCGGAACCAAATACTCAAATTTTTGTCATAGTAGTGGCCTGATTTATTGTGTGAAGTGGGAGCAAAAGAATACAGCTGGTTGTCTTCAGATATCACGTATCCAGGATAGGAAAGAATTCGGCACAACTGGGTCATTTGTAGCCCTCTGAATGACTTTGTTTGGCCTCAGACAACCATTCAGAAATGTATTCACAGACAGTTGATGCAGATGGAAACTCTGTGAAAAAAATTTTTAGGGTGAGACTTCTGTAAATAGATAAGATATATTTCAAGTCATCAAAAGTTAGCTTAATTTTTTATTTAATCAAAATCTTACATCAGCTTTGGCTTGATTTAGATCAGGGTGTCAAAACCTTTTGTAACGAGCCAAAATCATCAAGCCACAAAGACTCGCAGAGGAAAGGCTTTAGCTGACAGCTAGACAAGCAAGGTTGGTGTTATCGACCAACTCACTCACTCTTCGGTTACCAAGCAACAACCTGAGTAGCTTCTGCAGCAGCAGTTTGAGGCTTTCCCACCATGCCTCATTACTGCTAAAAAGTAAACAACTACAAATAAACTGGTGATAAATCAGCACAGCACGATACATTTTTAAAAACTGAACCTCTGAGCTGCACAGCCAATCAAACTCCAGATTAAAAGTAAAAAAACTGCTTCCTGTTTGCATGGTTTGTCCTCCAGGTTCTCTGGACTCAACTCCCGTGTGACAACTTCCACCTGCTGATCGCCTGCTCCATCCTCGAGTCGCAGCGAGGGGAGCTGATTGGCTCCGACCACGACTTCAACACTATCCTCAAGGTCAGCTGTCGCCATCACTAATAGTCAAATGGTAGTTACAAGGTCCAGGGTACCGTGCTGCAAATCCTGGAAAATCCTTGAATTCAATTAGGTTTTTGATTTCTGCATAAAATCCTTGAAAGTGTTTGACATTCAAACTGCACAGTTTTGAAATAAAGTGCAGTTTAATAACCTAAATTTGTAAAACGTTATTTACTGTTGAAAAATCTCAGCGTCTGATGTTAAATCATAATGAAATTAAATTGTTTCAGGTTAGTTAGAATCCCCAAAATTATTTATATTCACTAATTGCTAGAAAATTTAGCCAGAACATTTTTTGGAGATTTTTTTGGGGGCGTTTCCTTATATTTTGTGTTTAATCATTTAATTTGAGCAGAAAGGTCCTTTATTTTAACACAATTTGTTTGTATATTTTGTAAAATATGACTGTGTATTTGGGCCTTTGTTAATTTCCAATAAAAAAAAAATCAAAAATTTTGAGATTGATCTCATAAATTTTCAAGAAACAAAACAAGAAAATTTCTGAGACTAAAAGTTGAAAATTTGCTTGAAAAGAATCCAGAAATTTTTTAATTAATTTCAGAAATTTTATAGAAAAAGTTTCAAACGTAGACTTTTGAAATTTAGGAATGTCCAAATTTTTTCTGGATAATTTCTGAGGTTACTTTTAAAACTTTGGATATTTTATTGCTATTTCCAATTTCATGTTCATTAGTGAATTAAAACTGCCTTCTGAAGTTCTTTTCAAAGGTTTTCCTCTCCAAAGTGATGCTGGAAAAGTTTGAAAACTTATCTTTGAAATGCTTGAAAAGTGCTTGAATTTGACTTTTTTTCTCCTAATTGGTTTGCAGCATATTAATGAGCTGACGATGAAGCTGGACCTGCAGAGCGTCTTGCTGGAGGCGGAGGCCATCTACCGGCAGCTTGTTGGCTGCAAAGTGAGTAAAACAGGTTGTCATCCAGTGAACAGTCAGCTGCTCTTTTTATTGGAACTATAATTTGTGGAGTTCTATGCCAAAAAAAGAAATGTAAATAAAACCCACCGTCATCAAAATAGTGAAGTCAACTAAGAGGTAGTGTTGTCTCAGAGAGGCTGAGAATAAATGCACACCACACTTATCAGATTTCTCAAAATGTTGAGAATCAAGTAAACATTTTAACTTAGTTTTTTGTGTCTCGTAAAAAAAATATTCTGGTAATATTACAAATGTATTCTCATATTAGTATGACTTTATTCCAGTAAATGGAATATTACGATGCCATTTTGGATAACAATGTCTTTATTCTCACTTTATTATGATTTTTGCTTGTATTACTGAAACTTTATTCTTGTAATATTCCAACTTTCTTCTCGCATTAATACAACTTTATTCTAATATTATTACTTCATTCTCATGTTGAAATTTTTTAAACATCTGACCCTGATACTCCAGAACCATGCACTATTTGATCAGTTTTTAGTGATTTAGTATAACACTAAACCTTTAGTAGATTTAATGTTATAATTGTCCCCTGCAGGATCTTCCCCGTCAGGTGAAGCAGGTGTTGGGTCTGTGCGGCCCGCCCAGCCCGGCGGAGGAAAGCCCAGACTCCCAGAGCAGCGAGAGTGAAGCCCTCCTGGGTCAGGCAGAGGGAGGCGCTGCTTCGTCCCACGTTCCCTCCAGCTCTTAAACCTCACCTCAGCTGCTCAAGATATTTATACATGAAGTGAACGTTAACAAATATAAAGACTGTTGTTATGGCTTTTCAGAGGCAGGGGGCGCTGTGTGACCATTCTACCCATACATGCAATGTTTTATTTTTAGTCTTTTTTTTTCTGTCCCTTGTTTCTGTTTTTCTTTTTTCCCATTTGATGCTGTCTGTTACTCATTATCAAACAGTTTCCTGTTGTTAATTTCCTTTAAATGAAAGTTTTTGCTATATTTTTCCCCAGTGTATCTGAAAAGCTAAGAAGAACGGTAACTAACTGGCAGGCCTGTGTTGGCGCTACATGTTGCCATTCTAGACCTATGCAAAGTTTCTTGCATGCCTTATAGTTTTCACTCTGCATAGTTTTATTTTAAAACTTTCTGTAACAAGCAATTATTGCATTATAAAATAAATGTTTAAATCAGACTGAGCCAAGCAAAGGTTTTTATGTGTGCATTATTATTTATCTTTGTGAAAATATAATCCAGGAAACCTCCCTAAAATAAAGCAAGAACATCTAATGTTATAAATGAAACTAGCAAATATGGGGTTTATGCAGCAGGAAAGTGGTCAAAAGTAAACCAGTAGGTCATTTTCTAAGTGTCTGAAAGCAATAAAATTAATGTTTGCAAAGACCTAGTCAAAGTATGAACTTAAATCTAGTTGAAAAGCTGTAATTGTACTTTTTCTGCTCCAAAATGCCCAATCCAGCTCAGTTAAAACAATTCTCCTGTGAAAGAGGAGAACAAGAATATTAAAGGTATTTCTTAACAAATGTTAACATTTGGAGACTGTTTTGTATTTTTTTAGGTTCTCTTTGTCTGACTTTAAAACTTGTTTAATGATGTAAACATTCCCAAGTGTCAAATATGGTGAAGGCAGCATCATGATGTGGAGTTAGTTCACTGTCAATAGGACTGATTCAGATGGACTAATGAAGAAGGGAAATTCAATTATTTAAATGTCACTTTGAAAGAAAAAGAGAAGGTAAATGAAGCATACCTTTAGATGAGTTAGAGAATTTCCATAATAAATGAAAGATTGTACATTTTTATAAATCCCATCAGTAAAATAATAACCCTACTGAAAGAAATTCTTGTTTAATTTGTAAGAACTACTAAAATAAAAGCTGAAATGGCTTCTTTAATGATCTACCATTGTGTCTAATGACCCACCATTACGTCCTTATGTTTTACCTCATTACGCCTTACACACTTACCATGGGGAAGAAAAAGTAGTTCCCATCAACCCTGTCTCATGTAGGCAAGATTTCAATAATTTAATTACTTTCCAACGTGCTCTTATTAAAATACATTATCTCGAATTACTCAGGTATTGAAAGCATTGATACTTGGATTTGAGAATCGATCTTAAAGCATAAAGGTCTGGTATCAAAAGTATCAATATTTCAGTATCCATCCGCACGTCACTAACGGACAGCGCGGTAGCTAGCACTCGCTAGCATTAAGTTATCTTTGTTACGTTACATAAATGCACCAAGTTGTTCAAGAACGTGTCTTATTCTTCACATCATTGCACGCATTTTTTCCAAAAAGTCAGTTACTTCCGAAATCTACCTCACTTGAGAACAATTTTAATCCTCCTCGCACTTCTGTTAATGATTTATTGAAAGCGCAATAAAAGGGGTAAGACAACAATTTAATCGGCGCTGTTAACTGGTTAAACCTCCGCCTCCCTTCCGACTCCCTCTCCTCCCCCAGCGACCAGCAGGTGTCTGTTTGAGGTAAAATGGGAGCTCTGTTCCTCTCTGTCCCAGGAAATGAGCTGGAAAATGAGGGGCGGGTCGCCACGCCTCCTTCTCAGGACCCGCTGCTCTCCTCCTTTGGCTCCTCTCCGTCTCCCACCCGCTCCATCCGCCATGTTTGAATACAGCTGCGACGTATGAATTTAGGAGGCCACTTAAACAAGCGGACGGTCTGTCCCTCTTTCACCGCCCCAAAAAACCCTCACTCTGTCCTTCATTCAAACTCAATCTGCTTTCAGCTCATAGGCCAGTGCTTCTCAATTATTTTCCGTTGCGCCCCCCCTAGCAAGAAGAAAACTATTCGCGCCCCCCACTCCCCACCGTGACTATCCATCTCTGCATAACATTTTTTCCTTATTAACATTAAAGACAAAAAGAAAGACATATGGTCAAACTTACAAAGAATAACTTTATTAAATTGTGTTTTAAGTCTGCAACAGAAAAGATTTTAAGTGCATCAATGCCTGAAATTAAAAATAAATAAATCCATGTCTACTGCTGCAGGCAGTATCAGCTCCTCTTCTATGGTGTGGGGCTTTTTGCACTGCGCAATTTGGTACGCCACCTTATATGATGCTAGCAGCGCTCGATGGTTTACTGAAGTAGCCTTCACAAAGCGGGATGACTGTTGGCAATATTCAGCACGTTTTCGCTGAAAAAACTCTAGCGGCTTATCGGCGTGATTGGGATGTAACGTATTTAAGTGACGCACTAATTTATTTGGCTTCATGCTGTCCGCTGCGAGCATTTTTAGACACAGCAAACGCACCGGTCTTTCCTCTTCTCCAACTGTAGTCACAGTGAAGCCAAGCGCTAAATACGCTTCGTCGTATTTCCTCTTCTTAGCTTTCGGTTGACTTTCTGTTGTCTCATTATCTTTGTCTCTCTCCGCTTTTCTTTTCATCCCTGTGAAAAACTTTTCATGTTGGGGGTGTTGAATAACGGAGGCCATAGACAGAACGCAGTTGGAGCTTTTTGTTGACTTAACACTGCTAACCAAGGCAAACCTGTTGTCTTGTAAGTCATAAAATGTTGCACTGTCGCAAACGTGACAGAAGTAACAATGAGAGCGCCACTGCCGCCTACTGTGCGCAATTACACTTTATACTAGTACGGCCAAAAAAAAGCCTGTTCCCCAGGATCACACGCGCCCCCCCAAGTATCGCACCGCGCCCCCAAAGGGGGCCCGCCCCACTATTTGAGAAGCACTGTCATAGGCCAACAGCTTTAAACCCAACAATATAATCTCCTTAATTCTACAACTGAGTAAATGTTGGAGGATTATCATTAGCTTAGTTTCCATTGACCATATCATTACACAATTTGACATCTTGAAAACAAATCCGCTTAATGGAAACCAGGCAATTTTGAAAAATCAGTTTTTTGATAAAAGAAAAAGTAATTTGGCCATACCGAAATTTATGAGTTTCGCAAAAAGCACTTTTTCTCGTCACACGAGTCACATGATCAGTAACCGGATGTTGCTCCCGACAAAAACCAAGAAGAGGAAGACCACAGGAAGTGTTTGGAGCTTTGTTTTTTTAATGACTTAAAGCGTGAACAAACTTTTTCACATATGATTTTAATTTGATATTTAATGGAAACATCACAATTTTTTCAGTACTGGTAGAATATTTACAAAATCTTGCACACATACTAGATCTTTTACATAAGATCTGTTTGTCTCATTAGTGAACTTAAAAGTGTCATGAAATTCAGGTTATTTAATTGTCTTTAATTTATTTGCTTATTTATTCCTTCTGGATTGTTTTTTTCTCTCTCTCATTTTTACTCAAAATATCTGTATGACCTAGATTAATTGAAACAAACAATAACAGTTATATAAATGAGAAAATAACTGCCCAGAGAAATGAAAAATGCATCCCAACACATATGTCAAACAATTCAGGGTTTTTTGTGACGCTTAGTTCTGTTTTACGTTTTGTCTTAAATGTATCCAGTTTAATTTTGTATGTTTTTTTCTTATCTTTGGTTAATTTGTTGTTGTTTGTGCTCTTCACTCATCTGTAGATCAACACCTCTGTTTGCCAGACCGTAATGTTTGTTTTGTATGGACTGATTAGAAAATAAACACAAAAATCAATCCAAAATATTGATAATATCAGGGGTAAGTCAGTATAAGTATCTGATCAATCATGACAAGACTGATATGTTAGTTTTAGATTTCCTTCAGATATTTAAGTATTTTTTGTAATTTAGTTTCTCAACTCTACTGTAAAAAAGATTTTGATTTGATTTGATCTCAAATCGTATATTTTATACTTCATTTAGAAAAATTTGCCCACAAATTTGTTGTTTTCATTGTTTCTGCTTACTATGTAAACATGTTATTAAAGTAGACTAAAATGCTTAAATGTCAGATATTTGTTGATATGTCACATTTAAATAATAGAAAGTATTCAAATTGATAATACTGACTTTGTATTTACTTGATGTTGAATCAAAATAACATTACACAGTATAAATTTCATAACGCTTGTTTTTATGCTTTTTGTTTTCAGCTAATTATTTAAGGTTTTCTCCGTCTTCACTTTTTGTTTTTGTTTAAATAACAACAATTTTCTTTATTCTTCTGCCTGAAGATTTTAAGTTAAGTTGTTCTGTAAATATTCTGTGCATTATTCTGACAGCATTACATTCAAAAAGTAAGCAACCAAAATGTTTATTAATAAATCTGGTTTGTAACAGTTTGAAAGTAAAAACAGTCTGTCTCAAATTATATTCACCATATGCTATTTTTTCAAACATATTTAGAAATAAAGTTTGATCAAAATGTTTAAAATCTGGTCCTAAAATGTGTGAATTTCCAGACAAACTCAGACAGAAGCAGCCATGTTTGTTCAGACGCAGTTAAAGGAGCGTATCCCTGTTTTGTTAAAACAACATGAATAATTGATGCTCGGCTGAAATCAAGTTGCTGCGTGATGTCAGCTCATCCCTCCATTTAACTCCCATTTGAAACTCGAGCCGCCATTGAGCTCCTAAATGTGTGAAAAGCTGAAAAGCCACCTGTAATGACTGTGTCAAATACAATCTGGATCTCTGCTGGTGAGCGTGACCCCATTGTGGCTCATAGAGGGCTCCCGGGGGACTGAGTGTGTCTGTGTGTGTGAAGTGTGTGTGAAGCGTGTGTGCAGTGTGTGTGAAGTGTGTGTGCAGTGTGTGTGAAGTGTGTGTGCTCAGCCAGCAGCAGGCAGAAGGTTGTCTGACACTGATTTGTAAAGGCTCATTGACCTGCACATACTGAGAAGAGAGGAGAGGATGGATGGATGGATGGATGGATGGATGGATGGATGGATGGATGGATGGATGGATGGATGGATGGATGGATGGATGGATGGATGGATGGATGGATGGATGGATGGATGGATGGATGGATGCATGGATGGATGGATGGATGGATGGATGGATGGATGGTTTATTCTTTTTAAAATTCCAACCTGATTTGTTTGTTTTAGATAGAAAAGACTTTTTATTTTTCATTGTTATGAAATAATAACATATAATAATAATGAAAAATATAATGTTTTGCTCCAAAAAATGTTTTTTTTATTAATTTTGTCTACTTCGTACTGTAATGCATTTACACTGATTGAACGTTTATGAATTATAGATAAAAACTCTGGGATGTTATTTGTTG